TTCCAGGAGGAATAATCCCTTCAAAAAAAAAAGCAAAAAAACTTAATCCACGACTCTTTGTGGAATGCTGCTGTGCACAATTGGCTGCCTTGTTTCTCCCACAATTCACTTTACAGCGTATTCTGTGAAGCGCTTTGAGGTGTCTTTAACAACATAAGTGACTATATGAAATGCAAAGATTATTATTATTGAAATTCTTCTTTTGGCCTTTAACAGGAGAAAGACCCTTTCTGTGCAAGTGGACCAACTGCACCAAAAAGTTTTCTCGTTCCGATGAACTGACGCGGCATTACAGAACCCACACCGGGGAGAAAAGGTACAAGTGCCCGATGTGCGAGAAATGTTTCATGAGAAGCGACCACTTGACAAAACACGCTCGCCGCCATCCGGGCTTCCATTCCAGTCTGCTTGAGAAACCATGCAAGAGAAGTTAATCTTTCACACGCACAGAGCTCGAGGCCTCTCAGATCAATATCATGAAAGACAATCTATGAGGGGAACAGATTGGTCAGACTGCTCAGGTCATTTGCAGTCTGCGGGCCTACTCGTCTTTGCTGCTAAAGTTGAATAAGTTAATCAGTTTGTATTTCCTTATTTTAATGCTATGGTATTGAGCATCCGGCATCAGTTTTTTCAATTCTGGTTAGGATTTTGATTTTGGGTGCACACTTGCTTGGCAGTAACATTGACTGCCGATTTTATTTCACTTGCAATATTTAACACCATTTAACACAAGAACTGCCGTGTCGTCTGGGTATGGTTAAAAGCGTGGTCTTCGAAAGGATAAAGCCTCATAATGGGTGATTTCACTTTCTGACTTTGGAAGATTTACTCTGAAAATCCTAAAACCTATCGGTGGATCCATAGGTTTGGACAGAGGCTGAGTTCTGCCTTTAATAAACACTGGAAAATGTTCTTTCACCTTTAGTTAAGGATGTAAAAGGTACCTGACTATGCAGTAGGTTCATTCTCACTGCCAGAGCTCTAAAGATACAAGACTCTCGGTCTTCAATGGTCAGTAAAAGCAAAGCGAGTTACAGATTGAGTGCGACTCACAGATTGAGTGCTTTGGTGGGTCTCAGTCCAGTGGTTGCTCAACATAACTCATGTAAAACTGAGTGTAGAGGTTGAACCTGCCTTGCTGGAAGTTGTCCATCATGCTACCCTTTTAAGCAAGGTGAATTTCCTGGCCTCAAGACAGTAGGGGAATGAAGTCCAACAACTTTTGGCTTTTTAATGGTTTTGTTCCCTACCTTTTGGGGGGAAATGCTGAAAAATCTACCTCCTGTTTCTAATCTACAGTACCAGTAAAGTATCTTCACACTGTATGTCTTCAATTTACCCATCTGTGGCATTTCTGCATAAACATGTTAATTTTTAAGCAACAATATGTACTATGTATGTATTGTCCAGTTTAAACCATTTATTGCATATTTCTGTCGTATTTAAAAGCAATTATTCCTACATTCAGCATGTGGAACCTTGAATTTTATTTTTAAAAAGTTATAAACAAGTAAAATCAAAAACTAAAAGTGCATTTTCTTGATTGATAAATGTATAAAGTGCCAGAATTAAATCCTTGGCTTGAATCATTAGGAAATTAAACTTGGTATCAATAGAAAACCTACAATGTATCATTATCATAGGAAGTTCAAATGTACAATTGAGAGATTTTATTTTTAAAAAATCGCTTGAAATTGTAGTTTATTGCATAAAATAACATAATAAAATTCCACTCTGGTTCTGCACTGTTTGCCTCCAGTAGATCACAGAGTAAGTGTTTTGGCCAAGAACTATTACAAAAAACATTCAGTGTTAATCCTCTCTTTGGTCAACTGGTCATTGAAACCATATGTCCTTACAGGTTGAGTACAGGCAATGTGCATCTAATGGATAGTTTGAGTAAATTGCTCACTTGTGCTGGTATGGGGTTCCAAGAAGGTACTGGCCTGGAGGCTGGAAGGATTTTGCTTACTGCAGCCCACGTGTTATCCCATAGAATGAATTGCCCTTTGAGTTAAGAAAAATGTATTTCTGCTGATCAGCAAAAGTTGCCCTAGAATTTTGTTCCCAAAGTGCTTTGAATGCGCTAAAACTGCTCGTCAGTTGTTGCAAACCATGCACATTTTAATGCAAATGCCTCATAAATTTTTAAAAGGTAAATTTGCAAGACATCTGCAAATCCCACAGCCAGTAAAATGAACGATAGACTTTGTACACAATATGGTCTAAACAAATCTGTACAATTAACAAACACCACAGACATTGCCTCATGTCCAAGGTGATGAATCCCAGTGATGATCCTCTTACAAGTAGTTTTGTGCTTGAGTCTACAAGCATGGGGCAATCCCATGAGTTTCAAGATTCATTTAAAAAAGGTTACAAAGACCAGTGGGTCCTCCACTATTTGTTAGACTGAAAAGCTACTGCAGGATGGTAGTTAGCGTCCCGACTGCCTCAGAATGATCATGATGGACATCATATCAGGCTTGTCACATCAGCATGTAGGAAATAGTTTGCTGTCACAACGTTCTGTCACTTTTTTTTAAAACTCAAGGTTTCTAAAATTGTTTTATTTAACCTCATCAAACATCTTGCTTTAAACTCAGACGAGCGAGGGAAAGATTCACACAAATTTGGATGCAAATTCCTAACATAGGAAATCCAGATGCTTGCATGGAAATAAATGTACAGAACAGCTGATCAACACTCAAATCCATGCTTATTCGGTGGAAGCAGTAAAATATGTACATAGATTCTCTCCAAAACCACAATAAACTTCCCTTGTCCCAATTATGGCAAAGAAATTGCAGTAGTTTGGTCCATAAGTTGAAAACCAGTCATCAGTGTCTAGACAAATATCATTTTATTTCAGATCTCATTCTGGTTTGAGATAATAATGTAGTGAAATTCAGTACAAAAATATTTTTACAGAGCACAGCTTTCCCTTCAGCTTTTAATTGCAGAATGGTGCTTTACTGGCTGCATTTTTTAAATCTCTGGTTATTATGTGATGTTTTGCCCACAAAACAGTCAATTCACTTTACAGTACATTCCATGAAGCGCTTTGAGGTCCGAAGATGTGATAAGGCGCTAAATCAAATGCAAGGAATATTACTATTTCAAATTTCTCAAATTTAAGTCATGGCTTGCTCAGATGTTTTTGTGATGTATACTTCACTTTCCAATTGTATCACCAAGAACCAATGGGCAGTGAGTAATGATAGTCCTTGTATTTGATACAGTACCTTATCAAATTGCTAAGCACTTGTTTTCTATAACCGTCTTAACTACATTTATGGGAAAAGGTGGCACCCGATTTATGCTGGCAATGTCCTAACAACAGACATAAAATGAAGACTATTTTTTAATCTGAAGGATCTTTTGCCCACACAACAGAGAAAATTCCCTTCTCTTGTCAAATAATGCCATGCGATGTTTAATGATCACTTGAATATGCAGATGGAATTTCACCTTAAATTCTCATCTGAAGGAGAGCATTTCTGACAAAGTGGTGTTCCCCCAGACTGGATTGGAGTATCAGCCTTATGGACTATAAGCTTAAAGTCCCAATGTAGGCCTTGAACTCAGAACTTTGATTCAGAGGCAAGTGTCAACAATTAAGCCAGGCTGCCTCACAAAAGATGCTGTCCCATTGTAACATTAAGCTGTGCATATGAAATAGTCACACGGTTTGATGTGCGGTCTATTCAGTTAATTAACCCTGGCCACCACTACAATATGAATCCTGTAGCTCAGTAGTTAGAGCACTCGCCTCGCAAGCGAGAGACCTCGGTTCTATTCCTGCAGGGTGAAATGTTGGCCAAGTTTCCTTACTCAACACTCTTCTGTTTACCTAGCAGTAAGCAGGAACCTGATTGTTGGTTGATTGGCGGATCGCTTTTCCAGGGATAATAATCCTTAAAAGAAAAATTTGGTCACTCAATCCACGACTGTCTGTGGAACACTACTGTGCGCAATTGGCTGCCGCATTTCGCCCACAAATATACAGTCAATTCACTTTACAGTATATTCTGTGAAGCGATTTGAGACATCTCAACAACGTTAAAAGGCATTATATTAAATCCAAGGATGATTATTAATGTTGTTTACTTGCAAACTGCTGGTAAGTTTTACTTCTGCTTAAAATTATGCAATAAAACCATATAGAGCCATAAGAAATCCATGAATAGAAACAAGCCATTCGGGCCATTATGTCTGTGCCGGCTCCCTCAGTTGCAATCCTTTCAGTGCCATTTATCTGTCCTTTCCCCATAGCCCTCTAGTTGACTCTTTTGAAAGTATTTGTCTAGCTTCCTTTTGAAGGCCAATATGGATTTTAACTCAACTACCACTCTCGGCAGGGCATTCCATATCCTAACTACTCTTGTGTGTGAAAAAATGTCTCCTAACATTCCCATTTTCAGAATCTTATGCCCTCTAGTCACAGACTCACTGACCAGTAGAATAATTTCTCATGACTATATCTATCAAATTGCCTCAGAATTTGTAAAGAATTTTATCAGGTCACCATTAATTTCTTTGTTCCAGTGAAATATGTCCCAGTCTCCCCTCATAAGCCAAACCACTCATCCTTGGTATCATCCTAACAAATCTCCTCTGTACCCCCTCTACTGCCTTGACATCTTTCCAAAAGTGGACTGATCAATACTGCACACAATATTCTAACTGTAGTCTAACTAACAATTTAAATAAGTTTAGCATGATCGCTTTGGTTTTATTTTCTAGATCCTTATTTATAAGACCCAAGAATCCATTAACTTTTTGACAGCTTTGCCCACCTGCCCTCCCACCTTTAAGGATTTAGGTATGTTATCCCCCAAGTCCCTCTGCTCGTCTAATCCTTTTAATATTTTACCATCCAACATATCCTTGGTCTCCTTGTTCACCACCCCAAAATGTATAATTGCATATTTGTTCACACAGAACACAGAGAAACAACTTTACAGTAATCGTTACAGTACTCCAACTGGGAAGAGTTTTTTTTAAAATAAAAGCTATTTATTTGATTTGAAATAGACAGCAACAAACTTGCCTGGCATTACATATAAAATATCTTATAAAACGTGATTTACAAAACACAACCAAATACATATTACAAAAGATATTAGTGGTACAAAACAAAGGATTCTGCTGCAAGGTTTCACCTTACCAATTCACAAGCAAAAAATAATTTTAAAAAATCATGACTGAAAGTTTATATGAAAAGTTTTTTTGCATAAGGAAAATCAATTTCTCATAGAGGTATAAATAAAATGCAATGCAATGAATTGTTGCAAATTCAATTCAGTGCACCCTAAGAGAACATGTCCAAATTAATACATTTAATGGCAGATTTAATACATACATTAATTCCTTTACAGCAGCATTTGCCCACTCTCTCAAAAGTTGTAATGGTCTTTGTAAATAAATTGGATGTTCGTTTCTAGATAGTTTGTTCAAGTTGGGATGTGAAATCTGTGGTCTTTTGTGAAAATTATCTTACACAAATTAAGTTTGATGGTCTATCTACAAAATTGAACATTTATGTAAAGTAATTTGATCTTTTGTTATCTTATAAAATAAGATCACTGAAGATCAGCAGAACTGCCATCAACAAAACTAAAACAACAAATTATATTTTTATAGTAAATAACTGGCCACTCAGTCTCTCCTACCCTTAATTCTTTGATACACTAATCAAATTTAACAATTCAACTTGCACAAAATAGCACACATACTGTACTACACAGAGGCCTAGTGCTGGATCAAAAGGAGAGAGACACGCAATATTTTCCAATGGTCAAACCAGAACAACTTTCATGGAAGTGGGAAGCATGAACCAGCCTCATCAGACAGGATCACTTGAGTTCAAAGGTCACACAAAATGATGCATAAAAAGATTGTGGAATGCATTTTAGCAGATTACATTATGTTTTAAAAACTTAGAGTGATTAAAAATGGTTATAATTTATTTTCTGCCATATACTAATGGTTAGGTAGCCAATCGGAAGATTGCAAGAACAAGCAGCCCTATGGGTACTTTCTGTTCATACCATCTGATTTTCCTGTTCTCAGTCATAAAAATATCCCCAGCCCCTCACACTTGTCTTTCTTAATCTGTTTTTCTTGCCAAAAGAATCAGTTGCTTGCTAGCAGTACAGCGAGCGATATGACAGGACTCTTTACCTACTAGTATGTGTCCATTTCAAGATATGGTTTCCTGTTTTTCTGAGAAATGATTTTATAGGGTTCTCCACTGTGCTACTGATGATGCTCAGCTATATACGTTTTTTTTGTTATATTAGCTCATTTATTCAGAGTTGACAATTAAGGATTGGTTTATTCTTTAGTTCTAACTTATTGATTAAACTTCAGGTTCTTAAAAACAATTTAGTTCACTCCTTTACACAGTATGGAGGAATCGGTAGGTGAAAGGAACAGATTGGTACAAGAGGAGATTTACGATGCGGTCTGGGATGGAATATTGAGCAGTATTAAATTCTTCAAAAAGACAGGCACTGCTGCAAATTTTATAGCTGAATTGGCTCATGAGCTGTGACGTGTAGATACAGTAAGTTATTGAATCAAGGTCCCCAAAGTAATCTACACGGCAGTTTAGATATAGGCGTACCTGACACAAGAATTTACATACAACTATTCTTTGCACATGTTCTGCATATGACAGTGAATAGTTTCATACGAGTTAAATGGCTGATAAATACTGGAGCAAGAATGTTGGTCTATTGTAGGCATGTCAGTTTCCAAATGACTAAAAACACTAAAAAAGAAAATATAAAAACGTGCGGACTTTCACACACACATAAACTGAATCCTACAAGGCTAGAATGGATTCAGGATTTTATGAGAATATCTGGATAACGAGTTAAACTTCACACTTGACGAAAGACGAGATGATATTGCAGAAAAAAAATCCTTATTCTTTTGTTTCCCTTCTGCTGTGAAAGCAGTGTAAGCCAGTTCCTAGAACTTAGACCAATGAGGAATTAGAGATGCCCATATTGTTTACAAGGCAGCTCCTTTTGTAAACATAATTGACTAATGTCCAGTCAAGTGGGGTTGTTCACCTGTTGTGCACCTGTACTCGCCGTCGTCTTCTATGAAAAGCCTTCATATTCCACTTGCCATGTGGAAGCACGTGTAACCCATTATAAACACACAGCACTGTCATATTGTCATCGTAGGTTAGATTCTGTAACAGCTGTGGAAAGTGAAATTGCAAATCCCTTAGAAATTACCTTAACATCATCTTTGGATGACCTTAACATTTTCTAAAATGTTTCCCTATTAGTGAAAATTTACATGTAACTATCAGATATGCTGATGGGACCAAAGATTTTCTGTGAAGCTTGTTTGTCATTTGCGATGAAAAAACCCTACCTTTCCAGGATTAGTCATAGGTACTCCACTAACTCCCGATTAAATTAGCCAGTACCCCCGAATAAATTCAGATGAGTCACACTTGGCAGCTGAAAACCCCACCCACTAAACAGGAAACTAAGATATAATTCAACAGAAAAATATAGTGGCCTCCAGGACTTCCTAATCAATTCTGAGCACAATTGTTCAGAAATCAAGGGCCGGGGGAAGGAAAGAAAAAAATGGCATTTCAAAATATACATTCTCATTCCTTAAAGAAGAAATTATTTTTAGGAATACTGCAATTTTGACCTCTAACTAAAACCTGTGAATGCTGCAACACCAACCAGAATTAGTACCTGAAACCCATTCAGATGCTTTGACACTCATCTGTGTTTATTTTGCCTTTATAGCTAGAATATTTAGCATACCTTAGGTGTGATAAAGAAGTACTGAGAAGTATTCTCTTGGCAAGCTGTTCGTACTACCATTTCAAAAACTCTCCTCTCGTTGGTTGGATCCATTCCCTACAGTTAAACAAAATGCTAAAGTAAATGACCATTTCAAACAAACACTCCTTGAAAGTTTTTTCTCACGTTATCACTTTTAAATATGGTTTTATAAACTTTTTTTTCAAAATCAAAAAGATGGGCTATTACACTGGTAATCAGAGTGCTCAATGCTAAGAATTTGCACTTTTTTTTCTTAAAAATACCTGATTGATTTCATCTACAACACGAAAGGGGCATCGGCTTAATTCCTGTAGAGCCATTAGATACAGCATTGTAGAAACACTTCGCTCACCACCACTCTGGTGGTGATGAGTGAGTTCATGAAGTTGTGTACTGCTGCGGAACTTCACTCGAATTCGGATTCCATATTTATCGTATTCTTCCTGTAGGTTATAAGAACATAAGAACGAGAAAAGACCATTCATCCCATCAGAATCGCTCATTTCCTATCTCAAACCTTATCTCGTTACACCTTACTTTCAGATTTGAATCAGGCACGGGCCAACTCTAGTGCAGAACTGGGGGAGCTTGGCAATGTTAGGAGTGGAGATGCCATCTCCTGTCTGCCAGTTCTTTGGATGAACAGGCACTATTTGAAAAGAGAAGGTAGTTTCTCCTGCTGTCATCGCCAGTAACCCTCCAGATATTCACAAAATGGCTGTTGGGACTTTGCAATGTGCAAAATGATTATCATGCGTGCCTACAAATAACAGCCGCTGCAGTCGATAACAATTACCGTGAAGAGATTTTAACATACGACACTATAACGGTACACTTTTTTCCTTTCTGTAATTGGAGACTAACTCACAGGTGAACTTTGGGAGCACTGAGGAAATTTCTTACACTCATCACTGTATGTTTTTTGCATATTGATTAAATCACAAATTAAGCTTGCACGTAAACTGTGAAAAACATGCAGTTCTGCGAGAAAAAGACAACAGTCATATAAAAGACTGAATATCTCAAGCGTCATTAACGTTCAGGACTGCTTTCTGTCAGAGTGATCACCAGAGAAAGATGTGGGTGTGAGATGAAATATAACTGTGAAAGTACTGAAATGTGGTTGAGTTAATAAAAACATGGGTGAGTCAGAATATGTGAATATGACAATGCAATCAAAAACATCTTACCTCGTTCTCTGTATGCAGGTCAACTTCACCCGCACACTGCATTGAGCGAAAGTGCTCGCTGAATTTCTCATTGATTTGTTCTACAAGCTGCTTCAGAGGATTTAACCACTTTTCCTTTACCTACAGAGGGTGCAAAATAACTTGTATTAAAAATCTCTCCCGTGAGTTTTTCTGAAGAAAATGACATGGTTAATAGTGATTATCTCACTAAAACCCATAAAAAAAAGATGGAAAATAAAACACGTGGTTCCTATGGGGATAAAGGTATACTGTGTCTATTAATACACCATGTGTAAACCATCTGTACAGAGAAAATTACAATCACATCAACTCTTAATTATATAATTATAGAAATAAGTATATAACATGCAGCTGCAATTCCAATGTGCACACAGCACACATACCAGAAGATCCCATTGTCCTGGTGTCAGGGATGAGCATTATTAGACGGAACAATCCAGCATTAATGGCCTTATCTAATTTTTGACTTTATATTACATTTCAAAGTTAAATGCAGTCAATTGTGAACATTTTTGTTTTATCTAAATTAAGGAGAAAAAATTCTCTGGTATTTTGAGGTTTAAAAAATCCAGTAACTGAGATCATGAGAACAGTGGATTTGTCAGTTCAATCTCCCACATCATTGAATTGCCAATATCAACAATGTGCAGAATCAGGTCCTTCCCACAGGGCGGAGATGGGATGGAGTTCCAAAGGGTGGCTGCAGAGAGGCTGCAGGTTACAGATGTAGGAATTGGCAAGGCGGTGAAGGGCCTTGAAGATGAGGACGAGGATAATGAATTCAATCCTCTGAGGAATAGGGAGCCAGTGGAGTCGGATGAGAGTGGGCGGGATGGGGTCATGGAGCCTGGTGTGGGAGAGGACATGAGCTGCAGAGTTCTGGATCATCTGCAGTTTGTGGAGGGAACAGTTGGGGAGGTCGACAAGCAGGGAGTTGGCGTAGTCGAGCCTAAATATAATGTGTGGATGAGGGTTTCGGCGGCCCAAGGGGTGAGGCAGTGGTGGAGCTAGGTGATGTTGCGGAGGTGGGGTAAGGCAGAGCAGCAGGTCATGGCGCAATTGGGGGGGGAGAGAGGACAGTTGAGGGTGAAACAAGACGCCTAGATTCCTGACTGGCTCGGTGAGGTGGAGTGTGCATCCCTGGATGGTGATGCTGCCAGTGCCTGAGGTGTGGAGCCAATTAGGAGTGCCTCGGTCTTGTTGACATTCAACTGTAGAATGTCAACAGACTTTAGTTGGCTCTCATCCAGGACTTGATATCTGACAAGCAATCTGTCAAGTGGTCCTGGATTCGAAGGTGGAGGCAGAGAGGTACAGTTGGGTGTCATCCATGTACATGTAGAAATTGTCCCATGTATTGCCGCCAGACTACGGCACTACCTCACCCCTCACGCTGCTGAAACACTGGTCCACGCCTTTATCACCTCAAGGCTGGACTACGGGAACTCTCTCCTCGCCGGCCTTCCCGCCACCTCCCTCCACAAGCTGCAGGTCATTCAGAACTCTGCAGCTCGTGTACTGTCCCGCACCAGGCTTCGGGACCACATCACTCCCACCCTCGCTCGCCTCCACTGGCTCCTCATCCCCCAGAGGATCGAATTTAAGATCCTCATCCTCACCTACAAGGCCATTCGCGGCCTTGCTCCCTCCTACCTCTCCAACCTACTATCCCCCTACTTACCTGCCCGTACCCTTTGTTCCTGTGGCTCCGGTCTGCTCCACATCCCCCGCCCCAACCGCCCTACCATCGGTGGCCGGGCCTTCAGCCTCTCAGCCCCGAGGCTCTGGAACTCCATCCCCAGTGCCTTCGCCGCCTCCTCCTTTCCTCCTTCAAGGCCGGTCTCAAGACCTTTCTCTTCAACCGTGCCTTCAGCTCCCCTCTCGACTCTCTACCCCCTCCTCACTCCCTCCCTTCCCTCCCCTCACCCTGACCATTTCCCCCTTGTTCGGGTCCCGACCCAACTGTCCAGCGCCTTGGGATGTCCTCCCGACGTGAAAGGCGCTCTATAAATGTAATCTTGTTGTTGTTGTTGTATGCGGATGATGTCACCAAAAGAGAGCATGTAGATATTGAAGACGAGGGGGCCAAGGACAGAGCTCTGAGGAACACCGCACAAGATGTTGCGGGAATTGGAGGAGAAGCTGTTTGAGGGAGACGAAGTGGAGAAGGTGTGAAAGGCAGGATCTGAACCATTCAAGGACAGAGCCATGAAGGTGAGAGGAGAGGCTGTGGAGGAGGAAAGGGTGGTCAACTGTATCAAAGGCAGCAGAGAGGTCGAGGAGGACGAGGAGACAGAGGGAGCCCTGGTCACAGATGGACAGAATGTCATTTGTCACTGACCAGGGCTGTTTCTGTGCTGTGGGTGACATGGAAACACGATAGGAGATATTTATATAGTGAGTGGCAGGAGAGGAACGAGCGAAGCTGGGAAGCAACTTCTTCAAGGACCCTGGAAAGGAAAGGTTGGAAATGGGGCATTAAGAGTAGGTTTACTGAGGATAGGAGTGATGACGGCTGTTTTAAGGGGGTGGGAATCGTGCCAGTGGACGGGGAAAGGTTGATGTGGTCAGTGAGTAGAGGGGCAAGGAGGTGGAGCTGGGAGGTAAGGAGAGGGATAGGGCTGGGGTCGGTAGAGCAGATGGTGGGTTTCATGTGTGTTACATTGATGGTGAGAGGAGGGGGAGACAGGTTTGAAGGTGTGGAAGGAGGGATGGGTAAGGGCTGGAGTGTGAGGTGGACATGGGGAGGGGGGTAGCGGTTGGGAAGGCAGAGGCAACTGAGCGGATCACCTCGATTTTGGTTTCAAGGAAGTCCTTCATCTCCTCGCAGTTGGCGTTGGAGGAGAGGTTGGGCGAGGCATAAGACGGTGGGTGGAGAAGCCGGTTGGTGTTGGAGAAGAGGAGCCTGGGGTTGTCCTTGGCCTCCAAGATTATCTTAAGAGTTGAACAATGATTTAGCTCAGGCGAGGACGGAATGGTAAGTTTTGATGAGATCTCCAGCCAGATCTTCCAATGGAGCGTTAAATTACTTGAGCCAGGGACATTCAGTGGCACTCACCTATGCGTTGAGGGAGTGGAGGTGGCTAGTGTACCAGGGTGAATTGCGTGAGTATGGGGTGGTTTGGGAGATGAGGGGGGCAGGGGCATCAAGATTGGTGGAGAGGGAGTTGTGGAGGAGAGTGACTAAGGAGGATAAGTCAGTGTGGGAAGAAGCCCAGAGAAGGAGGAGTTCAGATGACTCCAGGGCAACGGAGGGGGAGGGGGCAGAGATTTTTTCCAGTGGCAGTAGGAGATGGAAGTGGGTTGGGTGGTGTTGGGGAGAGGGATTGAGGAGTTAAGAAAGATGATATAGTGGTCCAAGATGGGTTGAGATATCCAAGATATATGGATTGAAATAAAGAAAGCAATTCAAATGTAGAAATGAATAAAGAAAAATTCAGGATCGTGCTGGAACTGGAAGCAGAATTAATTTGCTGTGTGACTCCAGCATTGTTCCTTCGTTATACCTGGGTTAAAATCCTGGAACTCCTTGCCCAACGCCATCGTGGGAGCATCTTCAAAATGGGAGCACCACAAGCGGCTTGGAGAGAAGACCCACTACCACCTTTCAAGGGTAACCGGGTATGTGCAATAAATACCAGCCAAAACCACCCACATCCCAAGATGAGAATAGATTTAAAAAATCAAATGATTTGAATAATGTCAGTTCTGGTTTGGAAAAGTCACAAAATCTACAAAGCATCTCATTTACATATTGCACCTTAATTCAACATATTTTTAAAACTTCAATAGTATTTAACGCAGAATTTACAAATTGCACAGAGCAACCAAAAAAATTGCTCAAAATAATGACAAACTATTTCTAAATGTCGTACAATTATGAAGACGAATGTTGCTAAATTATACATTGATTTCAATGGATGGTTCTTAATAAATTTGGGAATATTGAGAGTTTTATAATTTAAGTGACAGCCTGGTTTACTTTAGGCTGGATTAGATGGATGTAGTTTCAAGTCCCACATCGGCTGACACACAGATGAAGTTCTGTGGAAGAGCTGCATGGTTGGAGGTGCTATCCTTCAAATGAGACATTAAACTAAGTGCTTCATCAGGTTAAAGACTCCATGGTACTACTCGAAAAGAGCAGGGAGTGGTTTGCTGGCGAAGAATCCCCCAGGTAAAATCGGTTATTATTTTCTTGGCAGTAAGTAGAGCCACACACATTGCAAAGCGACTTCTAAATCAACTATCAGAATAAGATTCAATCATGCTTTAATATGAAGCAATACTTTAATTACCTTCGAGATATTCTCCTTATAATCTTTTAATTCTGTATTTTTTCTTTTCAGTTCTTCAACCAGGTCTTCTATGGCTTGTTTCCTCTTCTTGTAATCAGCTACTATCTAAAAATAAGGAACAGTATTGAGCTGGTCAGTACGACAACTTCAATAAAAAAAATTAAATTGTGAAAACATTACAATAGTTCAAATACAAGACACATTATGCACATCAGCACAGATAACCTTCCCAATATAACAAAGTTATATATTTTTTTAAAAATCTCTCCTTTGCTCTGCCCCAAAGGCACACAATTAGTAATCATAAGAAAAATCATTAGCAGGTTTTTGGTGGTAACCAAACTTCCTTTACTTTACTTATCAATATCTTTACTTTGGGAAGCATTCAGGGTTTTATTGAAACACTTGATTCATATGGAAATATGCCTCATGTAAAGGGAAAGCTGAGGTAAGTGTACAGAAGCAAGATTACAATACGAAATATCAGTATTAATAAAAAATATATCGTGTCCATAAACTATGAGCGCTTAATAGTTGAAAATGGTTTTACTATTAAAAGCTTTAAAATAAACGAGGACAACAACAACAAGATTTCATTTATAGAGCGCCTTTCACGTCGGGAGGACAGTTGGGTTGGGACCCGAGCAGGGGGGAAATGGTCAGGGTGAGGGGAGGGAAGGGAGGGAGCGAGGAGGGGTAGAGAGTCGAGAGGGGAGCTGAAGGCACGGTCAAAGAGAAAGGTCTTGAGACCGGCCTTGAAGGAGGAAAGGGAGGAGGCGGCGAAGGCACTGGGGGATGGAGTTCCAGAGCCTCGGGGCTGAGGCTGAAGGCCCGGCCACCGATGGTAGGGCGGTTAGGGCGGGGGATGTGGACATGGTGACTTTCTATTATGTTAGTAAATAGATCACTCAATTGGAATCCTTGTAGCACCACATTTCTACACTAGCTTCAGCTTTGCCGACTGAGACACCAAACCTTTTGGCCAGTGGAGGAGTGCAGGGAAAGGAAGGAAACTTATTTTACTAGCAGTCAATGCCTCAAGTAGTAGGTCATGCAAAATCGCCTTACATTTAGGCTCATCTCCAGCCTTTGCTGCCTATCAGGTAATTTTGAAAACAACTTTGGAGCTAACCCCTTATCAACCTATCCACTCCCTCCCCTCAGCCCGCTTCATGCTCCCCACCAGTCCCGCCTCACCATCGGCGGTTGGACATTTAGCCTCTCTGCCCCCATCCTCTGGAATTCCACATTACCTTTGCCTTGCTCACTCCATTGCCTTCTTCAAGGCACGCCTCAAGACCCTCCTCTTTGACAGTGCGTTCGGCCACCCTCCTACTCCCACCCTCCCCACTTGAGCTTTGCTTTACAAATGTAAATTTGTATTGTATTGTAGTATGCATTATGATCTATCTACAAGGACAGGAGGACAATCCAACATAATTTGCACTTTAATCCAGTGTCACTGGTTCACAATTGACTAACATCAAACACACAATCATTCTGTAACAGTTAAGTAACAAAATAACACTCTACAAGACATCACAAAAGAGTAGCAAAATGAATAAATTATCAAAGACAAAAATCCTGTGATTCTAATGCCAAATGTACAGCCCTACTTATCTCTTAAGAAGATAAGCATTCTTGACAAATAGGTAACAAGTAAGATTGGTGAGCTGCAGGCTCAAGATGCCACATGGGGTTATGATGTTCTGGCAATAACGGAGACGTGGCTCAAACAAGTGCAGGAATAGGAGCTGGATAGATTAGCAGGTAAAACCGCTAATGGGAAGCCTTCAAGGAGGAAATAGTTTGGGGACATAACAAATACATTCCCACGAAGGGGAAAGGTAGGGCATCCCTGGATGAATAAGAAAATTGGGATTAAAATAAAACAAAAAAATGAGGTTTATGATAAATGTCAGGTCCAAAATACAAAAGATAATCAAACAGAATATAGAAAGTACAGAGAAGAACTGAAAAAGGAAATAAGAGGGGCAAAGAGATTGTATGAGAAAGGATTAGCCGGTAACATAAAAGGGAACCTTAAGGTATTTTATAAGCATATAAATAATAGAAGGTTAGTCAATGATAGGGTGGGTCTAATTAGGTACCAAAGAGGAAATCTTCTTGTGGAGGCAGAGGGCATTGGGTGACGAACTGAATCAGTACTTTGCATCTGTCTTCACAAAAGAAGAGGATGCAGCCACTGCCATAGTATCGGAGGAAAGGGTAGAGAAATTGGATAGGATAAAAATAGAGAGGAGGTACTAAAAAGGTTGACAGTGTTGAAGGTAGATAAGTCACCCGGTCTGGACGGGATGCATCTTAAGTTACTGGGGGAAGCAAGGGTGGAAATAGCAGAGGCTCTGGCCACAATCTTTCAATCTTCCTTGGATTCTGGAGTGGTGCCAGAGGACTGGAGGGTTGCAAAAGGGGTTGAAGGATAAACCTGGGAACTACAGGCCGGTCAGCCTAAAGTCAGTAGAGGGGAAACTTCTAGAGACAATAATCCAAGAGGATTATCACAATTGACAAAAATACAAAGTGATGCATTTTGGGAGGAAGAATGAGAGGCAATATAAGCTGATGGTGTAATCTTTAAAGGGGTGTAGGAACAGAGACCTGGGGGTTCATATAAACAACAACAACAACAACAACAAGATTCCATTTATAGAGCGCCTTTCACGTCAGGAGGACGTCCCAAGGCGCTGCACAGTTGGGTCATGACCCGAGCAGGGGGAAATGGTCAGGGTGAGGGAGGGAAGGGAGGGAGAGAGGAGGGGGAAATGGTCAGGGTGAGGGGAGGGGAGGGAGCGAGGAGGGGGGAAATGGTCAGGGTGAGGGGAGGGAAGGAGGAGCGAGGAGGGGGAAATGGTCAGGGTGAGGGGAGGGAAGGGAGGGAGAGAGGAGGGGGAAATGGTCAGGGTGAGGGGAGGGAAGGGAGGGAGAGAGGAGGGGGAAATGGTCAGGGTGAGGGGAGGGAAGGGAGGGAGCGAGGAGGAGGAAGAGAGTCGAGAGGGGAGCTGAAGGCACGGTCAAGAGAAAGGTTTTGAGACCGGCCTTGAAGGAGGAAAGGGAGGAGGCGGCGAAGGCACTGGGGGATGGAGTTCCAGAGCCTCGGGGCTGAGAGGCTGAAGGCCCGACCACCGATAGTAGGGCGGTTGGGGCGGGGGACGTGGAGCAGACCGGAGCCAGAGGAACGGAGGGTACGGGCAGGTAGGTAGGGGGATAGTAGGTTGGAGAGGTAGGAGGGAGCAAGGCCGTGAATGGCCTTGTAGGTCATTCAAACAAACAAATTCAAATTCAAATTCAAATTCAAACAAATCTTTGAAGGTGGCAGGACAGGTAGATAAAGCTGTTAAAAACCATACAAGATTCTCGGCTTTATAAGTAGGGGCATAGAATACAAAACTCAGGAAATTATGATCAACCTTTATAAAACACTGATTAGGCCTCAGCTGGAGTATTGTGTTCAGTTCTGGCGCCACATTTTAGGAAGGATGTCAAGGCCTTGGAAAGGGTGCAACGGAGATTTACCAGAATGGCACCAGGAAAGAGGAACTTCAGTTTTGAGGAGAGGCTAGAGAAGCTAGGATTATTCTCCTTGGAGCAGAGAAGGTTAAGCGGAGACTTAATAGAGGTGTTCAAAATTATGAGGGGATTTGATAGGATGAACAGGGAGAAACTGTTTCCACTGGTGGATGGGTCAGTAACCAGAGGACACAGATTTAAGATGAGGTTTAACCAGAGGGGCGGTGAGGAGACTTTTTTTTTTCCAAAGTGAGTTGGGCCTTAGCCACTCTACCCTCACCCTCTAGAACTCCATCCTGCAGTCCCTCCGCCTCACCCCTCCCTTGCCTTCTACAAGTTCTGTCTCAAGACCCTTCTCTTCGAGCGTGCCTTCGATCACCTTCCTTCCCCTGCTGCCCTCCACCACCCCCAGCTCGGGTCCAAAACACTGATTGTCCAGCACCTTGGGATGTCCCCCCGACGTGAAAGGTGCTATACAAATATAATTTTGTTGTTGTTCGGATCTGGATTGCCTGAAAGGGCGGTGGACGCTCATTCGATAATAGTCGATTTATTATGTGCTGGTAAGTTAATACGTACCCAAAATAACTCCAGTTTTTTTATTAAAAACCCACTGCTAATTCTATCAATGAACAAAGCCAGCAATCAACCTTTATCTTAAAATCCATAGTGGATTAAGTTACTTCAAAATCGCTTTTAGAAAATGAATTTCTACATCTCAAAAATCAGCAGTTATATCTTCTGCCATAATTTATTACAATAATACTTTCTTTTGAAATAGCACCTTTCACACCGGAATGACGTCTCAAAGCGTTTCACAGTTTATTGTAAAATGTAGTGATTTTACTAGCCAATTCACCAAATTAAATTGGTCATTCACTGCACGCCTGTTTGTTGGACAAGGTTGCCACACTCATCTACAAAATATAATAATTACAGCTTACAATACATAATTTGAAGCATTTTGAGATGTCCTCCAATGCAAAAGGTGCTTTATGAAATAATAACAACAATCCTTGCATTTGATATTGGGCTTCATCACATCTTTGAGACGAATCAAAGCGCTTCACAGAATATACTATAAAGTGAATTGACTGCATATTTTGTGGGTGAAAAGCGGCAGCCAATTGTTCCACAAACAGTCGTGGATTGAATGACCAAACTTTTAAGGGATTATTACCCCCCCGGAAAAGCAATTCTCCAATCAACTAACAATTGGGTTCTAATTTACTGCTAGGTAAACAGAGGTGTGCAGAGTAAGGAAACTTGTCCAACATTACACCCTGACCAGGAATCAAACCCAGGTCTCTCGCTTGCGAGGCGAGAGCTCTAACCACGTAATGTAAGGATTATTATTATTATTTTAAACTTCCGATAACTGGTTGTTCCGAGAGAAAAGGACTCAGTGACAAGTTATCAGGAGTGGCAAGTTCTGCATATGTATAAATGCAGCCGGGATAATGACAGATTGACGACTTAAGCGGTAATGACAAGTTAAGCCAGGGTCGACTTATCAGGAGTTTTCTGTATATCATTATACTCCAGTAGAGGGTTTAAAACATGGAATCAGACACTTCCAGGAGACAAAGAAAGAAATTGACAAGGCTTTTTTTTAAAAAAGGCACTAATCTTTAATGAATCCCTCTCTGCTTCACAAGCACTCAGTCCTTCCTTCAACGATGGAATATTCAACTTCTTCAAACATTGAAATGAATCCCAAAGTATCAAATTGGGGCAATTATATTGTTCCCAGCATTCACTTATGCAACTTCATAAAGCAGGTAAACTATACGAACCAAGAAAAACAAACAGGGAGTTCTTACCGTAGCACTTAAGGTAGAAAAGCAAGCTACTCTTGATTCTTCTTCTCTCAATGAAGCATCTATTTCATCCAGTGTGTTGGGAAGACTTTGAAATGCCTAAAATAATGGAAAATTCCTTCAAAATTAACACTTCATTCTATTATATGCAAGATATCTTGAAGATACTGAATAATAATAATCCTTACATTAGATATAGCGCCTTATCACGTCTTCGAGACATTTCCAAGCGCTTCACAGAATATACTACAAAGTGAATTGACTGTATATTTTCTGAGCGAAATGCGGCAACCAATTGAGTACAGCAGTGTCCCACAAACAGTCGTGGACTGAGTGACCAAATCTGCATTATAATAATTTACGATAATAATAATTTTCAGCCTTACCAGCAGTTGCAATGCAAATTCAAGTAAGTTCATTCAAGAACTTGTATTTATATAGTGCGCTTCGTGTAAGAGATTGCCTTGGGACTACTCTATATTAGCCTGTGGGGTAGGAGAATGGATGCCCGGATTGAATCATGATATGCACAACTTGTGCTGTGGGAGGCTCAGGATGTTGCCCTGCGTGAGGGGCGCTATTATTATAACCAATTCACGTGCCGCAAAACTTTTATTTGTGTGTGTATGTGTATCGGTAGGTGATCTCGTCGTGTTCAAACTTTGGTCATGGACTCTGGTCATAACTTTGGTCAAGTTATGAAGAATATGTGTAACTAGGCCAACACCTAACATTACAAATGTAAATAACACAAACAAGCAAGTACAAACAATAGCTGTTATGTTCAGTTTCTTAGTTGTTTGTGCATGCCTCTTGGCTGCTTCAATATCTCCCAGAATTTTTTTGTCTCTAGACTTAATGGAGAAGATTAGAGCAACAAAACCAAAGCAGCACATGTTCATAAAATGGAGGCTGAAGGTAGACCAAATGGAGTAATTGCTCACTGACTTCATTTCTGCAGTGATGATTGGGTTGAACATGCCAGGCTGCTCCATGACTGGGTACATTGGAGTGGTGGGCATGAATCAGTGGCAAAATACAGTTGCAAAAGAAAATTAAACAAATATTCCAAGGCAAGTGCCTAAAATTGCCTTACCCATCAGTATATGTGGAGTAAGTCATTAACTCGATCAAAATAATTAAAACTGGCATTGTTTTACTGCTTTTGATGCTATTTTTGCATTAAGACCTAGTTCTGCACACTTTGTTCTACTGTGCAGGCAGCATGAAGAATGAAGCAGACCCAAGAAGTGTCTCAGGAAATGATCTTCACTTGCCAGTATTGACGATCATAAAAGAAAGAAGTTGCATTTGTATAGCTCTTTCTCACATTGAAAAATCTCAAAATGCTTTACAGGTAATTATTGTGAAGTATAGTGACTCATTTTCAGGCAAGCCCAACAGCACTGGAATATGGACTTGAACTTGACCTTGAATTGCAGCAGCCAACAACTTCTACTTTGTTCAAACCAACCTTGAGTTTGCTAAAGTTTACTCAGTGAAGCCCATTTACAAGAAAACTTCTTCACAATGTCTTTTTTTGCTTGTTACCTTGGCTAATAGAAAAGTGCAGGCGCAATTTTTCTGCGGATTCCGATATAAACAGCACCTTTCACTATAAAGGCCTTCTGCTATAAACAGTACCATCTGCCATAAATCTGTAAAAAAATGAAGCTTCTTCGTCCCTGGGCCTCTGCGCGTTGCTACCAGCTGTTTACTCACCGCCACTACTGTGGGTAGGACGCCTCCCGATGTGCATGCAGTGCACACGGGAAATGGCCTTCACTCCACTCCGAGGCCCCGCTGTTGTGATTGTCTGTGTGTGTCTCTCTCTCTCCTCTGGGTCTGTTGTGTGTGTGTGTCTCTCTCTCTCTCTGTTTGTGAGTGTGTTGGTCTCTCTCTCTGTGTCAGTGAGTGTATGTGTGTGTCTCTCTCTCTGTTTTTATCAATAAAATGAAAAAATGCAGGTTGGGAGTAACATGTACCTCAATAGCACCAATTACACACACCACCCTTGTATTTTTTTTTGCAAAATCTGCCATATTTCCCTGCAATTTCCTGCAAAATTTGTGAAACTTCCCTCTAATTTTTGGCAAATATTTTTGTAATTTTTACTGACCCTGGATATTACTAATCTTTCTTCCCCTTTCCTCTCTCATTTATCTTTGGGTTCAATTTATTGTTATAAGATTAGTAAGAAAATTCCGTTCATAATCATTTGTTAAACTTTTCAAGGTCTAATTTCCATCCATCTTCAAGTTAACTTTCCATTGTCTCTTAAAGTAGAAATCCCTTTCACTTTCAGTAAAAACGTTAATGTCACTTTTCCAATTAGTGTTTTTTAGGATTTCAATTTATACAGTCACTGAAACAATTTCTAATACAGTAATAAAGCTACTCAAACATCACAATTATTGCAAACATTCAAAAAATGTTAAAGCAAAACTCAATTAAAATTTTAATTGGACCTGCGAACAAAGTTGCATTTTATCACCCCAAAATGTCTTAAAGTTCATCATAGCAGTTACTCAAGTGCAGCCAATGTTTTTATAGCATGTTTCGCATACTTAAATCCAATTGTCAATCATAATAATCTTTGCATTGATACAGTTTCTCATGTTGTTGAAATTTCTTGAAGCATTTCACAGGATTTAATCGCTAGAAACATTTTTAATAGATGCATATGATTAGAATCCTTCATATCTAATAAAGTGCCTCTCACATTGGGAGGATGTCTGAAAGTTTATTTTTACAGAATTCACTGAGTTTGGGGCTTATATATTTTGTAAGTGAAGGAATATCGTACATCAAATGTGTCCAAGATTATGTGCAAAATATATCAGCACATCAAGAAATTAAATCCTGTGGTTTAGTGCTTAGAGCACTCGCCTCGCTAGAGAGAGATCTAAATTTGATTCCTCAGCAGTCTAAAACATTGGGCAGGTTTCCTTACTCCACTCGTCTCTGTTTACCTAGCAGTAAATAGGCACATGGTTGGCGGATTGCTTTTCCGGGGTAATAACCGTTCCAAATTTTTAAAAAAATAATAATTTGGTCACCTAATCAATGACTGTTTGTGGCACACTGCTGTGCACAATTGGCTGGCGCGTTTCGCCCACAAAACAATCAATTCACTTTGCAGTATACTTTGTGAAGTGCTTTGAGACGTCTAGAAGACGTGATAAGGCACTATATCAAATGCAAGACTTATTTTTCCTATTTACTGTAAATTCTAAGTGACTTTATAGGTGAATGCTGATGTCACCTTTCCTCATTCTCTCTCTAGCCTAGGATTTCAACTTTATTTTAACTGACATCCTTCCAAAGTTTTTTTTGGAAAAAGTAACATTTACATCCTTTTCATGCTTTTGTTTCATCTTCCTCCCAATTCCTACTATTCTTTTGAAGGTAGAGCAATGCTTTATTTGGCTAAATTCTGGCACTAAACTCCTGGTTGCATAATAGAAGTCCGATCTGAACCAGTCAAGGATAGAGCCGTGAAGGTTGAGGTGAGAGGAGAGGCGGTGGATGAGGATAGAGTGGTCAACAGTATCGAAAGCAGCAGAGAGATCAAGGAGGAAGATGAGGCAGAGGGAGTCCTGGTCGCAGATGGACAGAATGTCATTTGTCACTTTGACCAGGACTGTTTCTGTGCTGTGGGCAGCACAGAAACCCGATTGGAGGGGTTCGTGAAGGGAGTGGCGGGAGAGGAAGGAGCGAAGCAATGACTCATTCCAGGACCTCGGAGAGGAAAAGGAGGTTGGAAATGGGATGGTAGTTTGAGAGCAGTGGTAGGCCCAGGTAGAATTTTTTTTAAAGATAGGAGTGATGACGGATGTTTTTAATGGGGTGGGAACAGTACCAGTGGACAGGGAGAGGTTTATGATGTCTGTATAGAGGGGCAAGGAGGTGGAGCTGGGAGGTAAGGAGAGGAGTAAGAATGGGATCAAGGGGGCAGGTGGTCGGTTGCATGTGGGTTATAGTGGTGGTGAGAGAGGAGTGGGAGACAGCAACAACAACAACAACATTACATTTATAGAGCACCTTTCACGTTGGGAGACGTCCCAAAGCGCTGAACAGTCAGGTGTCGGGGCCCGAGCATGGGGGAGGGGTGGTGTAGGGGTGAAGGAAGGCAGAGAGGTGGGAGGGAGACCAAAGGCACGATCGAAGAGAAAGGTCCTGAGACCGACCTTGAAGGAGGCAAGGGAGGAAGTGAGGCGAAGGGACTGTGGGATGGAGTTCCAGAGTGTGGGGGCAGAGAGGCTGAAAGCTCAGCCACCGATGGTAGGGCTGGTTGGGCGGGAGACATGGAGCAGGCCGGAGCCCGATGAACGGAGGGAGGAGGCAGGCTCGTGGAGTCAGCAGGTCAGACAGGTAGGAGGGGGCAAGGCCATGGATGGCCTTAAAGGTGAGGACGAGGATCTTGAACAGGTTCAAAGGCGGGATGGGTAGGGGCTGGGGTGGGAGGGAGTGATGGGGAGAGGCTAGTAGACATAAGGGCAGAGGCAGCTGAGCAGATCCCCTTTATGCTAAGGATTAAACAACCACTTTTGTTTATATAATACCTTTCACGCAAGGTAGCACAGTGATGAAGACTTCTAACAAGGCAAGGGGAAAGGGAAGTAGGTGTGAGGTGACTGTAAGCACGATCAAAAAGGAAGGTCTTTAGGCAGAATTTTAAGGTGGAAAGGGAGTGGGCAAGGCAGAGGGATCGAGAGAGTTGCAGAGTTTCGGGGCGTAATGGCTGAAGGCACAGCCACCGATGGTGGAGTGGAGGGAAAATTAGGAGGCTGGAGTGGGGGGTAAGCAGGTCGGTTAGGGAGGTTCAAAGAAATGAAGTGATTTGAAAACGAGTGAGAGGATCTTGAAGACGGATCTGTTCTGTGATTGGGAGCCAGTGGAGCCTGGCAAGGACTGGTGTGATGGGGGTACGGAGTTTCGTGTGGATGAGTATCTGGGCTGCGGAGTTTTGAATTGGATTTTGTTTTTGGTGGAGCTGGGGAGACCAGTGAGGAGGGCATTGGAATAGTAAGCCGGGAAGTGACAAAGGTGTGGACGAGCGTTTCAGCTGCGTCAATTGTAAGGTACGGATGGAGGTGGGCAATGAAGCGAAGATGGAAAAAAGTGGTCCTGGTCAAAAAATGTATGTGCAGTAGAAAGGAACTGGGATTTATTAATTCTGTAATCTTCCTCCGAAGGCATCTATCCTACAGTATACATCCATGCATTTATCATGTCCAGGTTTGACTACCAGCTCTTCCATACACAGCTGCATACTATCCAGAATATTAGAGCAAGTGTCCTTTCCCATACCAGGCTCCACAAGCCGATCACCCCCATCCTAGCTAGGCTCATTGACAGCTTCAAATCATCCAGAATTCTTCAGCCTGCATTCCCTACTGCACTTGGTTCCATAAGTCTATCACCCCCATCCTTGTCTGGTTCCATTGGTTTCTTGACCTTCAGCCTTACTTTAAAATGTCACCATGCCCTTGCACTACAATGCCTGCTATTCTACTCCCCTGCCACTCCCTGTTACATCAACTCTGACTGCTTCATGCCCCTCCCCACCAACACCTATTTCACCTTTCCATTGGAGGATAACTTTATAAAAACGTTGTCCTATCCTTTGGAACTCTCTTTTTGACTTCCATCTGACTCCCCCACCACTGCTTTCAAAACCAATCTAAAGATCCGTCGTTGACTGCACTTTTGGGCACCTGCCCTCTAATACCCCCCACACGCTTCCTTTGGTCCTGAAGTGTTTAAAGATGTTCTTTTTACCTGAAAGGCACTGTAAAAATACAAATTATTGTTGCTGGTTAATTACTAATTATGATTATTACCAATAAGAATTAATATAAGAAAACTTCAGGGAAATACAGTTTTGGAAATCTTGACTGACTTTTCTCCCAAGGACTAACAACAACAACAACAAGATTCCATTTATAGAGCGCCTTTCACGTCAGGAGGACGTCCCAAGGCGCTGCACAGTTGGGTCATGACCCGAGCAGGGGGGAAATGGTCAGGGTGAGGGGAGGGAAGGGAGGGAGAGGAGGGGGGAAATGGTCAGGGGGAGGGAAGGGAGGGAGCGAGGAGGGGGAAGAGAGTCGAGAGGGGAGCTGAAGGCACGGTCAAAGAGAAAGGTTTTGAGACCGGCCTTGAAGGAGGAAAGGGAGGAAGCAAGGCGAAGGCACTGGGGGATGGAGTTCCAGAGCCTGGGGCTGAGAGGCTGAAGGCCCGACCACCGATGGTAGGGCGGTTGGGGCGGGGGACGTGGAGCAGACCGGAGCCAGAGGAACGGAGGGTACGGGCAGGTAGGTAGGGGGATAGTAGGTTGGAGAGGTAGGAGGGAGCAAGGCCGTGAATGGCCTTGTAGGTGAGGATGAGGATCTTGAAATCAATCCTCTGGGGGATGGGGAGCCAGTGGAGGCGAGCGAGGGTGGGAGTGATGTGGTCCCGAAGCCTGGTGCGGGACAGTACACGAGCTGCAGAGTTCTGAATGACCTGCAGCTTGTGGAGGGAGGTGGCGGGAAGGCCGGCGAGGAGAGAGTTCCCATAGTCCAGCCTTGAGGTGACAAAGGCGTGGACCAGGGTTTCAGCAGCGTGAGGGGTGAGGTAGTGCCGTAGTCTGGCGATGTTCCGGAGGTGATGGAAGGCGGTGCCAGTTGTGGTGCGGATGTGAGGGAGAAAGGACAGCTCAGGGTCGAACAAAACGCCGAGGTTCCTGACTGGCTTTGAGAGGTGGAGAGTGCAGCCTTGGATGCTGATGGTGTCAGCGCCTGAGGTGCGGAGGCGCTGACGTGAGCCAATCAGGAGGGCCTCGGTTTTTCGCACGTTGAGCTGAAGAAAGTTGTCTCTCGTCCAGGACTCGATGTCGGACAGGCAGGCTGTCAGGACATCGGTGGTCGTGGAGTTGAGAGTAGAGGAGGAAAGGTAGAGTTGGGTGTCATCCGCATACATGTGGAAGTTAACTCCATGTCTGCGGATGATGTCACCGAGGGGGAGCATATAGAGGGTGAAGAGGAGGGGACCGAGGACAGAGCCCTGAGGGACACCACATGAGACAGTACGGGGGGTGGAGGAGAAGCCATTCGTCGAGACAAAGTGAAGACGGTGAGAAAGGTACGACCTAAACCATTCAAGGACAGTGCCTTGAAGGTTGAGGTGGGAGGACAAGCGGTGGAGTAGGATAGCGTGGTCGACCGTATCGAATGCTGCCGATAGGTCGAGGAGGACGAGGAGACAGAGGGAGCCCTGGTCACAGATGGTCAGGATATCATTGGTGACCTTGACCAGGGCAGTTTCTGTGCTATGGGCAGCACGGAAACCTGACTGAAGGGGTTCGAAAAGAGAATGGGTGGAAAGGAAAGAGCGCAGTTGGGAGGCGACAACTCTTTCCAAGACCTTGGAGAGAAAGGGGAGGTTGGAGATGGGCCGGTAGCTTGATAGCTGCGACGCATCAAGGGAGGGTTTTTTCAGGGTGGGCGTGATGATGGCAGTTTTTAATGGAATGGGGACAGAGCCAGAGGAGAGGGACAGGTTGATGATGTCAGTGATATGTGGGGCAAGAAAGTGGAGCTGGGAGATAAGGAGTGGAGTGGGGATGGGGTCAAGGGAGCAGGTGGTTGGTTTTAGGGATAGGATGAGTTCAGTGACAGAGGGTGGGGAAACGGGTACGAAGGTGTGTAGGGGAGGATGGGTAGGAGTCGGAGTGTGGGAGGGAAGGGGTGGGTGGTGGGTGGAAGTTGGAGGGGAAGTGACCGCGGAGCGGATTCCCTTGATCTTGGATTCAAGGAAATCCAGCATCTCCTCGCAGTGAAGGTTGGAGGAGATGACCTGCGCGGGGTGGCGGGGGGGACGGAGGAGTCGGGTTGTGGTGGAAAACAGTAGCCTGGGGTTGTTCTTCGCCTCCAGGATTATCCTGGAGTAGAAGGACGACTTGGCCGAGGCTAGAGTGGAGCGGTAAATTTTGAGGAGGTCCAGCCAGATTTGTCGGTGGACCGTTAGGCCAGATTTGACACAGGTGCGTTCAGCAGCCCGCACCTGGCTTTTCAGTGAGCGGAGGTGGGTGGTGTACCAGGGGGAGGAGCGGGAGTAGGAGACAGTGCGGGAAGTGATGGGGGCAAGAGTATCGAGTGTGGAGGAGAGGGTATTGTGGAGGAGGGAGAGAGGAGAAGAGGGGTCGGTGAGGGTTGAAGGCCAGAGGGAGAGGAGTTCAGAGGACTCCAAGGCATCGGTTAGGGATTGTGGGGGTAACTTCTTCCAAGGGCGGTAGAAGATGGTGGTGGGTCTGGTGGAGGTGGGGAGGGGGGTGGAGGTGGTGAAGGAGATGAAGTAGTGGTCAGAGATGGCCTTGTCGGTAATAGTGACATCCGAGACACTGAGGCCCCGGGTGATCACCAAATCGAGTGGGTGGCCGTGACTGTGAGTGGGGGAGTTTATGTGTAAGGAGAGGTTGAGTGAGGAGAGCAGGGAAGAGAAGTCTGTGGAGATGGAGCAGGAGGGTGTGAAGTGTAGGTTAAAGTCGCCCAGGATGATGAGGCGATCAGAGCAGACTAAATCACTGTACAGAGTACAGTGGAGTCCTGTAGCTCAGTGGTTAGAGCACTCGCTTTGCAAGTGAGAGACCTGAGTTCAATTCCAGGCAGGGCGAAACCTTGGGCAAGTTTCCTTACTCCACACGTCTAATAATAATCCCTCCAAAAACCCAAAACGATAATAAATTGGTCATTTTCAATCTATGACTGTTTGTGGGACATTGCTGTGCGCAATTGGCTGCCGCGTTCGCCCACAAATATACAGTCAGTTCACTTTACAGTGTGTTCTGTGAAGCGCTTTGGGACGTCCTCCCGACGTGAAAAGCGCTATATCAAATGCAAGGATTATTATTATTATTATAGAGTAAAAATGGATCAATTCACAAGTGCTTACTCTCATAAGTTCTTGAGGGATATCATTTTCATCCAGATTACAAATCTGCCTCGCTGCTTTCATGCATTCCTTGCAGGTGTTGAGCAGTCTGCGCTTCTTTTCATCCAGCTCTTCATATTGTTGCTGTAATCCACAAAATTATTTCCTTAATGAGATTGAAGTAACGGGATTGATGCAAAAACATCTCCTTTAAAACTTGCTCTCCAATAGAAGAATTCTCTACCTCCAGACATTTCCAGTAAATATTAGTCAAACCATTATTTCAGTGAACACGTCTACAATAAATTACAGACACATATAAACTTTTTGAAAGATGCAAGCTATCAGAAGCTTTAATAAGTAAACCTTTCTTCTAATTGATTTCAATTGTGTACGGTTTTCTGCTAAGCAGCAGTAAAGAGACCTTCTAGATTTTATTAAGTAACTGAATGTAGAATTTTGATATTTGCATTAGAGCTCAGTAATGAAAAGTACATCATATTCTTACTTCATGAACTAGTCATTCATAACCATCATGTAGATCAGAGTGGTCCAAACATTTGCCTGCCAACGGACAGATTCCCTATTTAAGAAAGGTCCGTGGGCCGCATTATCCAATATTTTGTGTTTCCCTTCCAAAAACGTAACATTTCCACAGCACCTTTTTCATGTTGGAAGGACACCTCAAAGCGCTCGACACTGCCGATCACCAAAAGCGTGGTCAAAGAATTAGGTCTTAATGTGCCTTGAAAGAGGGGAGGGAGGGAGGGAGCGAGTCGGAGGGACTCCAGACAGCGGGGGCAAAATGGCAATGGTGGGGAGGATGGGGTGAGGGGACGTGAAGCATGCCCATGTTTGCTGGGCCGGGTGGTCCAGAGGTAGGGTGGGAAGGGGGGTTGGAATGAAAGAGAAGTTTCTCACTGGGAAAAGAGGGAGCTTTCTGTAAGGAAACTGCACGGCAATCAGTGTCTGTCCTCGATCCCCCCTGGCGGTGACTGAGTGAGGTTCCGAACATCTGTCCTGACAGTGAACCATGAAACACTGCCCTCACTTCTCCTCTCTCTCTCCCCCTTCTCAATCACTCTCAACCCCTCCTCTCTCTTCCAAATATTCTCTCACTCACTCCCCCTCTATCCCCTTACCCTCCCAATCTCTCTGCTCTCTTACACTCGCTCCGTTTTTTTCTCTCCCTCTCGCCCTCACATTCTCTCTCCCAATCTCACCCGTTCTTGCGCCCTCTCCCACACAAACGCTTCCCTCTCTCACTTTCTCCCCTCACACTCTTAATCACTTTCTTTCTCCCTTTCTCTCAATGTCTCTCTCTCACTCCCCCTTTCTCTGTTACACACACTGTCTCTCTTCTCTCATTCAATCACTCTTTACCCCTCTCTGCCTCTTAATCCCTCTCTCCCAATCAGCTGGGTGGTTCACTATCTGTAGCAGCAGGAGCTGGCAGTTAGTTGCTAAAGATGCCGCTGGTTGGTAAAAGACACGTTTGCCTTCCTGACAGACTGCAGTAGCGACCGGTATTATTTTCACTCTCCACGCTGGGTCCTCCCAACAGCCGGCTCTTGTAGCGGCCTCTGAGGACGTTCACCAGGGAGGGAGGGAACGGAAGTTGGAATGTTGGGAATGGTCTCGGGCCAGATAAATCACCCAGTGGACCGGTTAAGGCCCACAAGTTGGACCATGTTGACGTAGATTATGTAGAACGTAAGGCGTTCCGAGACTCTACCCATGTGAAGGGTGCTATGTAAATGCAAGTACTTGTTGCAGATTGTTATGTGAATTGCTTTGCACAGCAATACACTGGTTTTATTCAAAATAACATTGAATTGTATCACAACGTAAACTTTTTTTAATGCAATAATCTGTCCTTGCATTTCTCCCCCAAATTTTTATGCAATCTTACAATATGAAATGTACTTTTATCTTTCTACTTTAATAACATAGAGGGTAACGTAGAAAGTTTTGATCAAACTCAAAATTCAGTGATCTTATAATAATCCTTGCATTTGATATAGCACCTTATCACGTAATCAAGACATCTCAAAGCCCTTCACAGGATTTTACTGTATTTTGTACACAAACGGGGCAGCTTATTTGGTTAAATGCAGCCCAATGTGATTGGACAAGTGTCTTCTCTCTACCAACAAGAGGTCCTTTTGTGAATTGAATTCAGCATGAAATGAGTTTTTCACATGAAGTGAAAAATAAATGCAATCCCTACACGTACCAATACACTTAATGGTCAACTCCATTCAGGATGGTCATAAGGATGCCTGGGTTTGGGAAATGTGGAAAATAAATTACGACATTGGCCGAGAGTGGATTGTTAGGACAGAGTAAAGGGGGCCATTCAGAGCCACACAATCTAGGAATGCTGGACACGAATGCTGGATGCTAAAATTGGAAAATTACTTTTTCTCTCTCACTTTGTTGAGCATGGAGTTTCAAAATCAGAAGGGGAGAGAGAGGGCGACGTATTTTAATAAATCATACTTCTTTAAATTGTTGTTGTGCAGTTGTTTCTTTGCACTCAGTTTCAAGTCGGTTCCTCTCCGATGTTAATGTGCCGTTTTCAAGAACCAAGCTAACCTTCTCCATGTTCAGTGTAACGCAGTCCTGAAAAAAAAGAAAACTTTCAGACTCAGATGCTCCATCTCTTTCCTCTCCCCTCCAAAATTCTCAAATGTACGGTTTGCAGGAATCAAGACAACACATCATATTGATTCAGAAATGCAAATTCACACTGATCCTGAATGGATGATTTGCATTCCAAGGCAATACTCGAATAAAGTAGCGTTAAAGAACTGACAATCCACATTAATTGGGAGTGGCCCCATTGCAGATAAACAAAGTGTGAATAACTGGGCACATGCACTAAATCACAGAGCCTGATAATTGATAGCTGGGATCTACTGAAACTATCCTTCTAAGTACAATGGAGCCCCATTGTAATGCAATTCACGGTAAAACTTCTATACTTCTGTACTGATAAACCGACAATGTCTATCTGTGTATCAGCCAAGATCTCAATAACCGATTGACGTAGAGACATGATTTATACCTCATCAAGGAAGGCCTTACATTTGGGAGTGTCATGGGCATTTTTGGAGATCTCCTATTGTTGATGAGCTATGACCTAAACAAGCTCATCACACATGCATGGCAGTTTTGTGTTTTGCGCTGCAGTCACACCTGGTGGCTGCACCAACTCGCAGTAGGCTGTGGCATCGTGCGTCACAGAGCACGCACTCCAGTTACACTTGGTGGCCGAGCCGACTCCCAGTGGCACTGTGGCACCATGAGTCATAGAGCACTTACGTGCCCACGCAAGTAGCACGCACTCAAAAGAAGCCCAGCAGCGGGAACAAGATAAAGATACCTAAGCGAACATCTACCTAAGCGAACATCAAGCCTTTCAAGTACAAATAAAAATGCCAGACAAAAGAAAGAAGGCCAATTAAATGAAACTGAAGAACAAAGAACAGCATGGCTGCATTGCAATAACTCTAGGACCAGCCGGATCACACAGTAAACCCTTTTGGTTAGCGTAGCTTTGATAAGATCTTCTATCGTTCATGAGCTACGATCTAAACATGTATGATCTAAACATGTATGCCAGTTTTCCTTAAGGTGTACGTGCAGTGTTTATGGCATGTTAAGTGGTTTGTGAATGGTATCACTGAAATCTACATTCCATACTGGATCCTTTGGTTGCAAGTGTAGCTGCAATGGGTACAGCTGGTTTGCTTATAATGCGATTGTACTGCACACCTAATTCACTCCCACGTGCACTTTACATGTACTGGCTGCCTTTTTGCACTAAAAGACCAGGTCATTTGGTCACATCTGATGCACACCTGCAGTCTGGTACCTTGCTATAATGAGTTTGAATTTTATGGATCTCAAACACTGCATTATATATTTCAAGGCTACACTGTCCAATTATTGGCTAATTCATTTACTCGACAAATTCACAGAGTTAAACAAGACTTCAAAACGTTTCACAATTATCAGTCATCCGCAGTTGCTGCTGTTAATGTTTAAAGGAAACTAATAAGGCTGAGGCAAGTAAACAAACAGCAGCCATCTATGAAAAAAAAGTGACTACCTGGATCCATTTTGCAGTATGTAATTATATAAATCCTTGTCATCATTGAATGTATTCAATTAAAGCTAAGAAGCTTATCGAGAGATGAAATTGGCAAGAAAATGCCAGAAATGAAACTCTCTTCCTTTGATATTTACCTTAATATGCTGTGTTAATTCAGATACTAGTTTGGCCTTTTGACTGTAGATTGTCTTAATTATTCCATTTGCTTTTTGTTGTTCATTGGGAAGGTTAATAACATCCAGCAACATCTGTTTGAGACTATAAGAAGAAAAGATTAGTGGGAGAATATCAACAGTAGAAAGTTAAACTGGCTGACTTCCAGTTTATTTACTTCTACAATCAAAGTACTTCTTGGACCCAAGAAAGGTGGCTCGTATGAAGTCAAACACCAGCAGAGAATCAATTCAGAGATGGATCTTATAACCAAGAGTTTACCATCCCTTGGGAGTTCCATGAAGGGCAGTGACTAATATTTTATAGTTTCCAGTATAATGATTGTGATAATCAATCTTGTTGAATTCAGTTGACATGACCACCAACAAAATTGTGAAACTCATTGTAGAAAAGCACAAGGTGAAGTAAGTGGAGATGAAAACCTGGTGCAATGAAGGCAACACAACTGTTATTTTGTTGAAATGTCAAAGCAAAAATGAGTTTATGAATTGTTACAGACTCATGCTGCAGTTATTGATGGACCAATGGACACAGTTAACATCAGAAGGACGTTACAAGGCGCTGGACAGTTAAGGGTTTGCACCCAAGCTGGGGGTTGGCACCTGGACTATTATATCTGGGATAAGGGGGACGGGGGAAGAGAAAAATTTGATGTGACAAAATACTGGTGTTTCCACAATACAACACTGCCTTACTGAGTTGAGCTCTGTGGAATGTGTGAATATCAGTAGACATTTCAAATGTCTTAAGAGTGCAAAGTTCTCCCCATTTCAAAACCTCCAAAAAAAGGCCTAAAAGTCTTCACTGGTTTGCTTATCCCCATCAATTTATTCTCTGTCCTTGGCCCTCTCCTCTTCAATATCTATATGCTCCCCCTTGGTGACATCATCCGCAGACATGGGGTCAACTTCCACATGTACGCAGATGACACCCAACTCTATATTTCTGCTTCCACCCTCAACTCCAGGACCACTGCTGTCCTGACAGACTGTCTGTCGGACATCAAGTCCTGGATGAGGGCAAATCTCCTACAGTTGAATGTGAACAAGACTGAGGCCCTCCTGATTGGCTCACGCCAGTGTCTCTGCAACTCAGGCTCTGGCAGCATCAACCTCCATGGTTGCACACTTCAACTCACCAGCCAGTCAGGAACCTAGGCGTTTGTTCAACCCTCAACTGTCTTTTCTTCCCCACATCCAAGTCATGACCCGCTCTGCCTTCCCTCACCTCCGTAACATCGCCCGACTCCGCCACTACCTCACCCTTCAGGCCATTGAAACTCTTGTTCATGCCTTCATCACACCCAAGCCCGGCTATGTAAACGCTCTGCTTGTCGGCCTTCCCAACTCCTCCCTCCACAGGCTGCAGATAATCCAGAACTCTGCAGCCCGCGTCCTCTCCCGCACCAACCTCTGTGACCCCATCTCTCCCATTCTTGCCGGACTCCATTGACTCCCTATCCTTCAGAGGATCCAGTTCAAGATCCTGGTCCTCACCTACATAGCCCTCCATGGCCTCGCCCCACTCTACCTCTGCCACCTCCTAACCCCCTATCAACCCGCCCACTCCTTCCGCTCAGCCAGCTCCGACCTGCTCCACATCCCCCGACCCACCCACCCCACCATTGAGAGGAGAGCCTTCAGCCACTCTGCTCCTTACCTCTGGAATTCCATCCAATCCCTCTGCCTCAGCCCCTCCTTAGGCCTCCAAGTCCCGCCTCAAGACCCTCCTCTTCGACCATGCCATTGGCCACCCCCCTTCCCCTCTCCTCCCTTCTCCCCCCCAATCCCTGCTCGGATCTGAAATGCTGTACACTGTCCAGCGCCATGGGATGTCTTCCTGACATGAAAGGCGCTATACAAATGTAATGTTGTTATTGTTCTCATGAGATACATCTGGGTAACAAATATTAATCTAAATTAACCAACTCATCATAAAACAAGTATTCAATTCCTTGCTTTAATTTTGTTTCTATTTTCAAATGAACTAGAAATTAACAGAGTACATCATACTCAAAAACAAACATTTGGAGAGATTTTAAGCAGCAACCATACCTGTCATGTTTTGTACTGATTTTTTGCTCCAGTTGCCTTCTCTTCCCCCTCAAATCTTGCAATTCCTTTTTTTTCCCTCGTAGATTGTTATCTTCATGCTCAAGACGTTTCTGTGTCTCTGTTAAATCAACAATGCGCGATTCTGTGGCTTCCAACTTTGTATTTATTTCCTGTGAATCATATAAGCGTAGGACTAAGAGTGTAGAATGATGCATTAACTGCACTTGTACTTCCTCTGCCCCTTTTTTTCAATGTACACTAGTTCACACTGAAGTTCCCCCCCCCTTATTTTCCCACTGTTTATATTAATAATTTAACTAGAGGTAAACCTACAAGAATAAACTATTAAGAGATTAGCACATTAGAGCATTTTTTTTGGCACCTGGATGTCTGAAATAGTATCCAAATCATACAGAATTCCATGTATGGCATCTACACATTGAAATTTTTGGAATGCAACATACAATCGTCTCTTACCCCAGCTCCCACCCCAAAAGGTTCTCACCCTGCCGAAACGTCTCAAAGCACTTCATAAAATATATTGTGAAGTGAATTGACTGTATATTTGTAGGCGAAATACATCTATACAGTGTGATGTGGAGCAGGAAGTACTATACAAATGTGCTTTGTGCTGCATATCACAACAGCATTAAATATTTTATTAGCCTTATGATCCAGTTGTACTCAACCAAGCAAAGCAATATCAGGTAAATTTCTGAGAGCAGTGGAGGCTTGCAGCCTAATCTCAAACTCAAATAGAGCTTCCACACAGGTACTTTAACACATGCAACAGCTCTGTTCACCACCTGTGTTCACTGTTAGGGAAATAGCCATTAAATTAAAAAACGTCAGGCTTTGCTCCCTCCCAATATCAGAGGTACAGTGGAAGCCACTTTAGCCAGACTCCAGTTAACCTTGGACTCCGGGTTAATTGGACAAAACGCCAGCCCCAATTCATTTGTATTCTTACCCATTTTAAATACGCCGGCAGAGTCGTACATCAATCCGGTTAACCGGATAAAATGCCGCGCTAGTTGCTGCTGAATGTATTCATTCATGCCTTCTGGGTCTCGAGCAACTCCATTCAGCCACAAGTGGCACCGGGATGGAGATGGGAGTAATCTAACTGCGATTGACAGCAGACTCCAGCTATTCACAAGCGGCTCGGAGCTGTCAAGCAGTGAGGGGGCGGGAGAACGGGGAAGAAACAATGGAGAGAATGGGAGGAGTCAAATCACAATTGATTGACAGCTGAGCCGCTGGTGAATGAGTGGAGCCCAAACATTCACAAGTGGCTCCAGACTGTCAATCACCTCAGAGCCACCGCTAATTGGTCCTCTTCCCATCCAATGTGAGTGGCAATGGGAGGGAGGAGTTACCGCTCCTCTGCTGGGCGGGAAGAGGTAGGGAACTTCGGTTAATCTCGGTTGCCGCTTAAGCCCTATGTGTCCAGCTTAACCGGTTTCCACTGTATTACCCAAACACATCTCAAAACTTACAGCAGGTCACTGTACAAATAGAAGAGAAATGTGAATTCTGTTTCTTTCACAGGCAATGAATTTGTGCAAAGACATACCCTGAGTTGATCATCCAACTGCCTCCTTTCATCTGCATCCACTTTAACAGTGAGAAATTGTGCTTCCCTTAGTGCTGTATTGCTGGAAATCATTTTGTTGGAATAATAGGACCTCCTTATAGTGTACCTCTCTTCCGCAGTGTAAATCTGCCGCAAGTCAGTTTCTCTTATTACCTGTTTAAAATTAAGATTTTCCAGTGTAAAAGAACAAGTGATTGCCTCATTTTAGATCATTTTTCTCCATTTCACGTAAAAACATTGATTACAAAAAAATGAAGTCTTCTTAGTAAATTAATGTGCCATTTTATTACAAATAGAATACTGGTGTATAAGTCATGCAGCAGTTTATTTACACCATTAAATAAAGTAGCTTCAATATTCTATTTAAGAAATTGGGTCTTTGACCTTCATTGTAAAAGCATAGCTGCCACAACACTCTCTGGATGTGACGTTGATAAAGGAATTCTACCAGAATGACAAGCAAAAGAGATCCTCCTTTTTAAGTTTCATATTGTTTTTAAAATGAAGTGAAGAGCTTTTTTTTTCTTGTGGCACATATTTTTGTCACTAAGCAACAAGAACTTCTAAAGTAATTTTTTTCCAAAATGTCTCTCTCCTAGGTGGAGGTAGGCAATAAAGAGGAAAGAGAAAAAAGTAGTTCACTGAGAGATATTTACCTGTTCAATCATTGTTTTGGTCTTTCCAGTCCCTATAGGAACATCATGAACTCTGTGCTGATCACACAGATAACTCATTACAGGTGCAGGAGCATCTATCAGTTCTCGAAGATAAGATACAAAGCCATAATGTCTAGTAAACAAACAGAGCTTTAGATATAGTCTTGGTTCAACTTACAGCAAACACGAGTGGCAAGAACAGATATCTATTAACAGATTAATACATATCCAAGTTCCTTGGCTCATCCTCATGACATGAAAGGCAAGATACAAGTGTAAATTTGTATTTAATAATAGACAATCATTTTCCACGAGAAATATTCTATGAATTCCTTCAAATGAGGTCTCATTTCTATAAAATATATGCAACACACCAACATCCAAAATTTCCATATGATATTAAACTCAGCATTACTTCAATTCGTCTATACCTATAATTTAAAAATACTTAGAAAAGGTGGAATAAAAATATAAATACTGTACTTACTGAAGGCCTTGAATGGGTCTTGAGGGTGGTCTTTTGGCAGCTGAATTAGAAGGAGCACACACTGCATTTACTTTAAGCCTCTGTTTATCACGAACCTGAATGTAAAATATACCTTACGTTAACAGTTAAACTATTTAACATTGGTAGCCAGACAGTCAATTTGTCACCAAAATTCTACAGCTCGTTTCTCTTCCCGCACTAGGCTCCGTGTGCCTATAACCCCATGCTCGCCCAGCTTTGCAGGTTCTCCATCCTCCAGTGGATTAAATTCAAGATCCTCATCTTTAAATCCCTCCATGGCCTTGCCACACCTTCTCGTGAATTTATCCCTCCATGGCCTCGCCACACCTTCTCAAATCTTACACCTCACTGACTTCCTTCATGTTCACTGCCCCATTAGCATTAGCTTTCAGCCTCCCTGCACTACTTATTTGGAACTCCACTGTGGACTCCCTATGACTTGCCCCTTCGCAGGTCCGCCTCAAAACCTTCCTCTTAGACCGCATCTTCAGTCATCTTTCCTGATCTCTGTGATTGGGAACAGTAATAGAACAGAGCAATTATGCAGAGGCCAGGGCAAGGAAACTTGAGTATAATTCACCACTGCATCTTTCAAAAATTGTCTCTGTGACATGGAGGACCAAAGCTATTACTGGTCTTATCAGTCAAACGCAGCCACACAACTACATGGCCTGTTGCCAGGACAAGGGAAACTGCAACTGCGTGTCTGGTTTAAATTTCTGCTATCAGATTCCTATATTATCCCACATGCACTGTTTTAGTGAAAATTCCCGTGGTAACATTATGAATGTCGATCAGGGGATTTTCCCTCTGAAATCTGTTTGCAAGGGAATAACACATGTATATGCACTGACCTCGTGAAGGAATATTTCCATATCAGTCTGATTCTCACAGACAAAGGCCCTCAGATCATTCATTGGAATGTGATTTTCAATGTATTTAGCGTTTCTTGAATCCTTCATATTAAGCTGTAAAGTAAAGTGATTTTAAAAATTGGATGCGATGCATTTTCTTTCATACTATCATGTCAACCTAAATAATCCTAGAATTTCCAGCATACTTGCACACTTTAGTTTAATCTAATACAAATGTATGTTGAAGAAATTTATTGATTCATAAAATGTTGCAATACAAAACAGGACATTTGGCCCAAAAAGTCTGTAGCACAGATTTTATGGGCCAAATTGATCCAAAGTGACGCATCAGTTCTCCTTGGGGCTGAGTTGGCTTCAAAGAAACACGCCTGGCAAAGGATTTCAGAATTATTTCAATCCTGTATGGCAATTTCAGTAGCCAACCAGATCCACATTACTCCAAGCCACCAGCCCAGTCAATGGGATCTTGGATTCTTCCTAATGGGCATCTGTTAACCCTGCAAGCCAAAGTTTTAAGAGGCAGGATGGTCCCAGCTGGACAAGTTGCAGGAAGCTTGCCAATGATCCCAATAATAAGGGGAACCAATAGCCACTTTGGTTTCAACTGATTAAACCTCACTACTATCCCAATGCACTTTGGTATTCCTGGAGTTTTGCCAACATGCACTGAAACTCTGATATCAGGTAAACATCCCACCTGACCAGAGAGTGTACACTCCATGCCAGACAAAATGAAATTATACGTATGCAGAACTCAGCAGTTTGGTCTGAAGATTGTTCAACAATGGATTGCCATGTTGCATCAAACAACAGGAAAGTGAAATAAAATTTGTGATCAAACCCACTTGTTAAAAAAGAGCAGTCCTCGAACAAAATAACCGATTTTTAAAAAAATATAGCTAGTTTGTAAAGCCACCTCATTATTAAAATCATGTTCCAAAACATCCATGCAATGCCACAAAACATTTTCATTAGGAACTTTCCATTTATTTTACTACAACAGTATTTGTGTNAAAAAAACGTAGGCCAAATGGGAGCCAGTAATCACCAAAATCCAAATAATTTTACTAGAAATGTGAAATAAACCATAACTTATTTTATCACTGTTGCATAAAAAAAGAAAGGATTCTATACCTCCAGCATTATGGGTTCAAAGATGCGTCCTTTAAATTTATCCTTGTTCTCTCTCAACCACAAAATAGCGTTGTATGTGTCTCTGAACCTATCACGAAGCCTTGTTTCTTTAATATTCATCATGTCTTCAAGTCTCTTGAGGTGATTTGTAATTCCTGAATTTTAGCATATTTGTGCATCATTATTTTGTTAATACAGTTTTTTTTCTTTTAATACAACAGCATACAACACCCTGAATATTTTACTTACTCCAGTTTCACATACTAAGAAGCATTTGCAAACCTTACTTTATTCTGGAAATCAGAAATGCACTTACTCTTCTTTTCTCTTTCTAGGTTTTCTTTGTCCCTTCGCAGATCGGCTTTTTCACCATCAATGGCTCCCCTTTCCTCTTGAACCTTTCGAAGGGATCTGCTGATGCTGTCTAGCTCAGGCTGTACATTATCATCGTTCCCCGATGCCTTCAGTTCATTTTCCCAGTCTTCTATCATTTTCTTTGTGTTGCTTATTCTTTTCTGGCGGTCAGCTTCCTCCTCCTTTTTCATTCTCAAATTTTGTTCGACCTCTTCAACCTTAAGAAAAAGAAACTCTAAAAAGGATTCCATATTGGAAGAAGCTGACTTCAACAGGAACACTCCAGGGAGGGAGTGGCTATTCATTTACAGACATGGGAATTTCCATATGCAGGTGGGATGCACTGTATTCATTTATTCACTTTCTAAAATTTAGAGAAACACCAGTCTCCAAAACCTTGTCATCCTTCCTAAATTTTACTTTCCAGCACACATCAAACATTTTCAATGTGGAAAACTCAAACCAACAAACACATTCCCTACCTAACCTATTTTTTCAAGCTTTCATTTACTTGAATTCTTTCTTTCAGCACCCATCATCTATCAATTTTGGAAGGGATCAACTTTTCGTTTAAAGTATTTTTGAAAATAGCTTGATGCACATTAAAAACTAAACCTATAAGATTTACAGAACCACATGACAAATCTCAAGTATTAATTTCACACCTAGACCAGGAAGAATGAGATGTAAACAGATGACCATATCAGTGATGCCTCCAGTAATTGTACTCAGACGAGTGAACCTGTCCACATCACTCAGGAGTTAAACACCAGAGGGACTTTTGAAAAATCAACTTTTGCTCTAAATTGCTACATAGAGAACTCTGCTAGAAGAAGGTGCACATCAGTGGACATCAGGTAAGGGCAGGATCAGGTGTGATGCCCTGTGGTTAAAGAGCCTTCTGACAATGTCTTAGCTCTGCATGTATGGACACTTACTGTAACCAAGGAACTGTATTCCTAGAGATGAGAAGAGTTAAATGCATTCAAGTGGAGGGCCATATGAAAATGACAAGAATTTTTAGACCAACCTCTTTGTCCTTGCGTTCTAATAAATCTTGCTTTTGTTTATAGTTCCGTGCAGTCTCCTTAATTTCTGTCCCCTACAAAAAAAAGGTAAAGCAAATCATTCTCTCTTATATGATGGTACATTGCCAATCCTTGAAGAGTACAAGAAGACCCACATTCGGATTATGTTTCAGGTTTAACATGCACTTTAAAACAAACCAAATTAAGATAAGTAAAGGCTACACAGAAAGTTACAACACTAAGATCTTTATCCTTCAAATGAATACATTCTTCACATTCAATAGTGGACCAAATCACAGGGAAATTGTTCCTTTGAGATTTAAGTCATGACTCATGACTTACTAACCTTTTAATGCAATCCCCCACCCTAGCCCTCAGTATCTTTACGTAAGAGGCTTTTAGGAGCCACCTCAATAGGAATAATAACAATAATGTCAGTTGATCTGATCTTACTGCAGTCAAGTGCTACAGCTACAGACAAGACTATTCATTCACGGTAGCCAGTGTCTGTTTCCTTCATAAAAGATTTTAACTGGTAACATGCTGAGGAAAGCATTATTCCAAATGTTTTTTTCATCATTTATTCAAAGGGATTTACATCATAAATGAGACATCAGAGGACTGAAATTCCAATCAGTATTCTGCATAGCGCTGACAATGTGTGAAAACAATGGGTAAATGCTATTAGTCATGACCATTCAGTCATGTTTACACCTTAGATAATTGTGTATGAACACTGGATATGTATAGAATTCTATACAGAGGACATACATTTTTTTTATATAGCAATAACCAAGCTTCCAACCTTTTCGTTTATTTTGTATTCCTGTTGTTTACACTGCCTCTCAATTGCCTGAATTCTTCTAGTCATAGGAGCCTGAGCTTCTTTTAGTCCTTTCAATTCTTGCTTCAGTTGATCGCGGAGATGCTTCACTTCCTCATGCTGCTGGCGAGCAGCCTCATATTCCTTAAAAATACAGATGTTTATTGTAAGCAGTTACAATTAAATAATTACTTCACACCGAAACTATAGGTAATCTACTATTTTGTACTGCAACTAAATTGTACGCTTAAGGACTTCTCCCCTCAATGAGTGTCAGGACATCAGGTGAGGTTGTAATGACCCCCCCTAACTCCCATAGCCTTGGTGCCAACACTGTTTTCCTCTTTGATTGTGCTTATGGCCACCCTCCCACCTTCCTCCGCCCTCTATCCCTCGATTCAAACTACAAGCTCAGGTGAAACCCCTTAACTGTCCAGGGCCTTGGGACGTCCTTCTGATGTGAAAGGCGCTGTATAATTTTGTTGTTGTTGAGTGTCATGAAGAATGAATAGCTGGGTAAAATACTGTAAGCCTCCTGGCATCCATGGAAACATGCCCGCGAAGAAGGAAAAGAGGAATCTAAAATACCTTCCAGAGAAGGGAAAGAAGTGAAAATTGGCAAGTTTTTCCTATTTAAAAAAAATCTTTCCACTGCAAACCAGAATTCTGACAATGTCCAGTTCCTCAACCACGTGGGTCCGCAGTTTTCCAGGGCACTGCTGATGTCAGCACAGCCAGCCTGACTCATTAGCAGGGCTTGGAACGGCAGAGCAGTCACTGAGGGCAGGTATTCTTCCCACTCAGCTACTGTTAACCCTACAAGCCAAAGCCCTAATGGGTAGGGCGATTCTAACTGGACAAGCAGCGGGATGCTTGTCAAACAATATTTTCAATTTGTCATACATGCAGTTTTAGCTGATTAAACTTCAGCAGTTCCCTGACCACACTCTAGGTTCCTCAAGCCTCGATTCTTGCCAACTTGCACCGAATACTCTCTGGAAATAACTAAGCAGGGTGCATGCGTTCCTCCAGGGAGAGAGTGAGCATTCCATTCCAGGCAGGGAAATTTCCATGCATTGGTGGCATATGTTACTCAGTCTGGTATGGATAATCTTATAAAGATAGTGATTAGTTTCCGCGTGCGTGAAGACACCTGGCTGACCAAAAAAAAGTAAATTACTTAAATTAATGCATTTTAATTCCACAGCATACCACCCAAGGGCGTTTTCTTTCCAATATCTTTATTTTATCTAAATGCCGTTGTTTTTCATAGTATCGTTGAACATCTTTCTCATTGCGGTCATTCATTTTCTCCATGTTCTCCAAGGCAGCCTTTTTATCTTTACACATTTTCTATGAACATATTAAATAGATTATTAGAAGCTTGAGGAAAGGAATTGGACAATGCTTACACAAAGAACCTAACATAATAATAATAATTCTTGCATTTGATATAGCGCTTTTCACGTCTTCTAGATGTCTCAAAGCACTTCACAGAATATGCTGTAAAGTGAATTGACCATATATTTGTGGGCGAAACACGGCAGCCAATTGCGCACAGCAGTGTCCCACAAACAGTCGTGGATTGAAAATGACCAATTTATTATTGTGTTTTGTTTTGGAAGGATTATTATTAGGCGTATTATTATTACATGCTTCTGTACCTCAAGTTTCTTCTCCTTCTCGTGATAATGTTTCAAATCACTGTGAAATTTGTACATATCTGGTGGACCAACCGATTTCTCTGTTGCTTCCAGCAGTTCAACTTTTGACATTTTGGCAAACTCTCCAACTTTCTCCTGGAAGTTAAATATCAAAATTAATTGACAAAAATCACCACAAACACCCCCTGAAATTTAGATATTATAATGATATTGGTGAAGCCAGAAACTTTACACAAAAAAATTGGCGTTCACTCAGTAAAAATATCATCTCTATATAAAAATTTTAAAATGCACAAACTAAATACTACAAAATAGCATCTTTATTACTGCTGTATTTTGCAGCGTTATAAGTTACAACAATAGTCTTTAGGCCCAGAGCTCCTCCAATATCCCAGTAAGCAAATACATCAGATTAGGATGGTTTAAGCAAAGACTCAACATCACATACAGATGGATTAATACGGAATTAGAATGTTCAAGGGAACAGGTTACCAAATAAACTGATCAGCCAAGGCTCAAGCTTTGGATTGTTATCAGCCGACTGCAATCCAACAACCCTCCGCTAGAAGTACCAACACGGAAATCAGGTGAGGACAGGACTGAACTAAATCACCATGGTCCTCCATGGTCGAACAACCCTCAAAATAGTGAATCTTATGGGCACCACAACAACGGGTCACTGACTCCTATGTAGCCACACCGCAGCAAACAAATTGGAGAGGGGAATGAAAGGAGAGGAAGGAAATCAGCTTAGTCTTCCACTTATTCATTTATCTTTTCTGAAAAATTTATGTAATGTACATGTAAACGTATATGACAAGAGTCAGCTACAATACCCTCCATGGTTGAAAAGCCAGCCAAGTTACCATCTGTGCTCACAAATGAAGAATGACACTTGCCTGAATTACTGAAGGCCATATGCCAAAAAGATTTAGCGTCTTCAAGGAGAATACAACAACAAAATTACATTTGTATAGCGCCTTTCACATCGGGAGGATGTCCCAAGGCGCTGGGCAATCAGTGTTTCAGACTTGAGCTGGGGATCGGGATCGGGGACGGTGGAGGGCGGGGAGGGGGTGGGGAAGGAGGGTGATCAAAGGAATGGTCGAAGAAGAGGGTCTTGAGATGGGCCTTGAAGGAGGCAAGGGAGGGGGCGAGGTGTAGGGACTACGGGATGGAATTCCAGAGGGTGGGGGTAGAGTGGCAGAAGGCCATCCCACCAATGGTGGGGCGGGTGAGGCGGGGGGCGTGAAGAGGCCGGAGCCCACTGAGCAGAGGGAGCGAGCAGGATGGTAGGGGATTATGAGGTTGCAGAGGTAGGGGGGAGCAAGGCCATGGTGGGCTTTGAAAGTGAGGACCAGGATCTTGAACTGTATCCTCTGTGTGATGGGAAACCAGTGGAGTCGAGCGAGGATGTGGGTGATAAGAGTCACAAAGCCTGGTACAGAAGAGGACACGGGCTGCAGAGTTCTGGATGATCTGCAGCCTATGGAGGGAGGAGTTGGAGAGGCCGACCAGCAGGGCGTTTGCGTAGTCAAATGATTATGAATGCATATATGAATAGCCCATTTGATCCATTATACTGTGCCACACTAGCTACTCACTGGAACTGCTTTCTCCCATCCCACTTCCTTTACTTTCCCAGCTCTCAAATTTTTTATATATTTCTGACAATGTCTTAACTAATTCCCTTAAATTACCACAAGTAACTCTTTATTGTGTTTTTTTTTAATCTTCTGACTTCCTAAGATAAATTAATTCTTTGGAACTACTTGTACGACATCAACCCATCAACTAAGACAGCTGTGTTTTAGTTGAATTTCTAGGAGTGGTATTCATCCTGTTCCTGGACATTGATTTGAAGAGACGAACAGTTAGAAAAAACTCAATACTAGCTCGAGCTCAGATTCTCAAAAAATTTAGCAGCAATCAGCATTATCTCTTCTTGCTGCAATCTACAATGCCAGATGAAATTCGTGGAAGTATTTGGATAATGCAGGATACACAATTCTCACATTTCGCAGTTTATTCCAACACAACAATTATAATCCTTGCATTTAATTTAGTGCCTTATCACGTTTCACAGTATATACTGTGAAGTGAAGATTGTATATTTTGTGGGTGAAACGCACCTGAGGTAGGAACTGGCAGAGATTGCTCACTTGGATGCTTAAAGCAGAGGTTTGTTCTTCCACCATTTTCTGGGTCGCATGCTCTCCGTTTATCTGCCACGTGGATTGATTGTTTGACACAGAAATCTCTCGACTAATAATAAGGTTGTGAGGAGGTTTGTAACTGTAAAAGGAACAACTTTTCAAAATTGATAACTAATTCAGAAATTAACCAAGAATTTTAATTCAAGACAGAAACAGCCCTCACTTCATTTTACTAGCCATTTATTACAATTTATCAAGCTAAAGAATTCTGAAATGAAAATTCGTGAAACCGCTCTTTAATAGTTAAACTTTCACTAGATTGGAATAAAATACTCCATTATTCTATTCCTACTCTCTTTGCCTCTCCAATGTTCAAAATTTCGTATTCAACACTGCACACATAGCTAATAGGAGTTAATCCTCCATGACGGAAAAGCGTGTTATTCCGCACCTATCAAGTGTTAAAAGCAAAGTCAGAGCTCCCATTGTAAAGAACAGGTCGATCTTTGCTGGACAATTCTGGTGACACCCTTTCTGGTAACATGGAATGGCACAGAACAAATCAAATTTAAAAATAATGGAAATCTAAATTTATAATCTCACAAGAACAACTTCTATTTATGTGCTGCTATTCAAGTCAAAGAATATCTCAAAACACTAACATAATTTCCAAAAGTTAAGTGAATTGTTCAATTCCCACACTTTTTGGCGGGGGGTGGTGTGAAGCTACCTCTGATTCTAAATAGCTGGATTGCGCAAGTGACAAGGTTGAGGCCTTTTTTTTAAGGATCCAGACTAATAGAAAATATCAGTGAACAAACAGTAAAAGCAATAATCATTGTCACTGAAAGAAGCTCCACTTTTTAAGCTCACTGAGAGCCTCTGGTGAAAGAAAGAAGGCACAGCACAAGGTGGTGCATTCTCAGTTTAAACACTGAAGGGAAAAACATCAAGAATTAGTTCATCCTCAATTTCTACAGATTCACAAGCAATTCTTTTTTTAAAAAAAGAGGATCAGGGCCTAAAAATATTCCTGGCCGTGGGAGCAAAAATTCATCCCTTTTTCACTACAGTGGCTTAATATTAAAATTAATCAACTGTGCAAGTGATAATTATCACAACACATGCAGCATTCTCTTCCCCCTCCATGGATTTTGCATGCAAATCAAGCGTTTTCATATTCTGTTTTGTGTCCTGAACATTATGTCAGGTTCTCAACAGCGGCCACCCCTTTTTTGAAAAGGTTTGAACCTTCCCTAATCTGCTTTTTGTATTCATGTCTTCCAATACAGTGGAATGCTGCTTATCTGCATACCGGCTAGCCACATGGCTGATTATCTATGGCTAATTATCTACACTGGAGCTTTTTTTCAGGTCAGCCGGGTGTCTGACACATGCGGAAACCCATCACCATGCTTAAAACCAAGCTGAGAATTCCATGCATCCCACTTACACATGGAAAGCCCAGAGATAGATTGTTGGAATGGAATGCGCACTTTCTCCCTGGAGCGACGGATCCTGCTTACCTAATTCCAGAAAGTATTAGGCACAGATTGGCAAGAGTCAAGGCTTGGGGACCCCAGACTGTGCGCTGGAGTACTGTTGGGAGTCTAACCAATTAAAACCACTTAGCTTGCCGTTGGTATCCTGTCTGGCAAGCTTTCCCACTGCTTGTCCAGCTAGGACCACCCTACCCAATAGGGCTTTGGGTTGATGGGTTAACAGGAGCTGAGTGAGATAACTCCCAGGCCCTAGTGACTGGTCTGCCCTTCCAGGTCCTCCTGAAGAGCCATGCAGGCTGTGCTGTAATCAGCAATGCCCGGAATACTGTGGACCCGCCTGGCTCAGGAACCGGACTACCGAGACCGGCAGAGGGCTGGATCGATTTTGACATTCCATTGCTAGGCATGTCATATTGGAGCCAGTTCAGCTCCAAGGAGACCACGCTTACTTCCCCCAAGGAAGATGGTAACTAGTTGGTTGTTTGACATCCGATAAGCGCGGGTTTGGGCTCTCACTAGGTAGATGGTCGGTACAAGGAACTTCCTGCGAGCTTCCTGGTGGGGCTCAAATGCAGAAGTGAAATTGGGCTGCAATTGAAGCAAAATATTTTAGTTGCGCACATACGCGCATTGTAACAAGATTCAGAATTTTTCTTAAGCAGCTTAAGGTGGAAACTTTGATCCAGGTAGGTACATAAAGAGAGAGACACACACACACTCAGTCAATGCAGTGCTGGGAGCGTGCTGCATCATTGGAGGTGCCATCTTTCTTATGAGAAGCTAAACTGAGGCCCCGTCTGCTTCTTCAGATGGACGTTAAATATCCCATAGCCCAATTCAAAAAGAGAAGGGAATTTGTTCCCATGTCCCGTCCAACAATCTCCCATATACAATATATACACTTGTTTGTGGGACATTGCTGAGTGCAAACCGGCTGCCTTGTTCGCCCGCAAAACACTGGCATTCCATTTTACAGTATATCCTGCAAAGTGCTTTGAGATGTCTTCTTGACATGATAGATGTGGTACCAATTGTAAGGATTATTATTACTTTTTCCCAATCTAGGCATCAGCCTCCAATACAAGTATCAACTTCCATGGAAATGAAGCTGATGCAAGCTGCCCCATAGTTATTAATAATAATAATCCTTCCATTTGATATGGCGCCTTATCAGGTCATTGAGCCACCTTAAAAGTGCTTCACATCCGCTCCACAGCTGGCACTGCCTTCCACCACCTCCGGAACATCACCAGACTACGGCACTACCTCACCCCTCACGCTGCTGAAACTCTGGTCCACGCCTTTATCACCTCAAGGCTGGACTACGGGAACTCTCTCCTCGTCTGCCTTCCCGGCACCTCCCTCCACAAGCTGCAGGTCATTTAGAACTCTGCAGCTCGTGTACTGTCCCGCACCAGGCTTCGGGACCACATCACTCCCACCCTCGCTCGCCTCCACTGGCTCCCCATCCCCCAGAGGATCGAATTCAAGATCCTCATCCTCACCTACAAGGCCATTCACGGCCTCGCTCTCTCCTACCTCTCCGATCTACTATCCCCCCACGTACCTGCCCATACCCTCCGTTCCCCTGGCTCCGGTCTGCTCCACATCCCCCGCCCTAACCGCCCTACCATCGGTGGCCGGGCCTTCAGCCTCTCAGCCCCGAGGCTCTGGAACTCCATCCCCCAGTGCCTTCGCCGCCTCCTCCCTTTCCTCCTTCAAGGCCGGTCTCAAGACCTTTCTCTTCAACCGTGCCTTCAGCTCCCCTCTCGACTGTCTACCTCCTCCTCGTTCCCTCCCTTCCCTCCCCTCACCCTGACCATTTCCCCCCTGCTCGGGTCCCGAACCAACTGTCCAGCGCCTTGGGATGTCCTCCCAACGTGAAAGGCGCTCTATAAATGCAATTTTGTTGTTGTTCACAGGATATACTGTAAAGTGGACGGACTATTTTATGGGTAAAATGTTTGGAACAGTACCGGATGCAATAGGAGGCAAAAGGAGCAAGATTCCCCACTAATTAAGTATTCATGCATCTGCTATAGAACTAAATTACTGATCATTTGTATGATAATCCAAAGACTAATATTTCATTCACACTGATGGGAATGCACCTCAGATCAGTAGAAAATAATGACTCTTGTCAATTTTAACATTCAACATTTGATTGAATCACTGTCCGTTTAAAATTGATCATTCAAGTTCAGTTGCGGGAAACCAAGTCTGTCACAGAATTACAATCTTTGATAAAACAGTCAAATACAGATCAAATGCGCAACTGAATTTAACAGTTAAGTTATATCAAACTCTTATCACCTGCACTCAGTCAGCTGCTGACAGACACTTTGGTTATGGCAACCACAAGTTTGCTACTAAAAGTTTACAGTAAAGCTACTCATGCAAATCTATACTTACAGTTCTAGTTCAATAGATCCTTTGTCAAATCCACGCTTCACATAAAGGCCAACCTGTTCAAAAAAAATTGGACAATATTCATAAAGTCCCTATTCATCACAACTAACGCTAGTTAGTGGTTCGAAAGTAACAGTATTTTGTACAATTAAAATGAACACATTTCATACTTTACTGGTCTAATGAAATAATTAAATAAAAGTCAATATGGTAAACAGAACAGAGATCAGGGCAGTGTCATAGCTTAAACCAGGGTGGTCCAACCTTTTTTGCTGCCGTGGGCTGGATTCCCTATGAGAGGAAAGTCCACAGGCCGCATAAGCAATATTTTGTGATGCCACTTATGAGTGAGGCACATTGACATTACAAAAAATGCTCAACCTGATTTAAATTGTCTTATTCCATCAAACATCAGTTACTACCGTTTAAATTTTATGAACGTTTTTACAGTTGTTACGGACACACTATTATTTGTGTTCAATTACCTGCTTTCTTTTATATTGTTGTGTTTTTGCATGTGTTGGTTGAAAGCTGCAGTAAGCCTGTGAGCTATTGCAAACTTGATATCTGTATGTATCAAAGCTTTAAAAACACTTTAGATCTATGGAGCTTATTTTATTTAAAGGTAAATACTCCACTGGTGATATAAAGTCTGCAAATGTCGAGAGGATCCGCTCAGCCTCTGCCCTTCTAACCACTACCCCTCCCCATCCCCCCCTCACACCCCGGCTCCTACCCATCCCTCCCTCCCTCCACACCTTCGAACCTGTCTCCCCCTCCTCTCTCATCACCACCATAACCCATATGAAACCGATCACCTGCTCCCTCAACCCCATCCCCAACTCCCAGCCCTACCTCGTTGCCTCACAGACATCATCAACCTCTCCCTGTCTACTGGCACCGTTCCCACCCCTTTAAAAATGGAAGGCATCACTCCTATCCTTAAAGCCCTCCCTGGACCCATCCCTGCTCTCAAACTACCACCCCATCTCCATCCTCCCTTTCCTAGGTCTTGAATGAGTCATTGCTTCTCGGCTTCGCTCCTTCCTGTGCCGCCCACAGCACAGAAACTGCTTTGGTCAAAGTGACAAATCATATTTTGTCCATCTGTATCAGGGCACCCTCGGTCTCCTCATCCTCCTTGACGCTTTCGATACCATTGACCACTCTATCCTCCTCCACTGCCTCTCCTCTCACCTCAAACCTCACAGTTCTGTCCTTCAGTGGTTCAGATCCTACCTCTCACACCGTCTCCACTTCATCTCCACAAACAACTTGTCCTCTAGCCCCCGCACCACCTCGTGCGGAGTTCCTCAGGGCTCTGTACTTGGTCACCTCCTCTTCAATATCTATATGCTCCCTATTGATGACATCATCTGCAGACATGAGGTCAATTTCCACATGTATGTGGATGACACCCAACTATCTCTCTGCCTTCATCCTTGACTTCAGGACCACTGCTGTCCTGACAAAATGTCTGTCAGACATCAAGTTCTGGATGAGAGCTAACTTTCTGCAGTAGAACGTTAACAAGACGGAGGCCCTCCTGATTGGCTCCCGGCAGCGCCTCCACACCTCAGGCACCATCACCATCCATGGATGCACACTACACCTCATCGAGCCAGTCCCGGAGCCTTGGCGTCTTGTTTGACCCTCAACTATCCGTTCTATCCCACATCTGTGCCATGTCCCTCTCTGCCTTCCCCCACTTCCACAACATCGCCCGGCTCCGCCACTGTCTCACAACACAAGCCGCCAAGACCCTCATACACGCATTGATAATATCCAGGCTCGACTATGCAAACTCCCTGCTTGTCGGCCTCCCCAACTCCTCCTTCCATAGGCTGCAAATCATTCAGAGCTCTGCGGCCCATGTTCTCTCCTGCACCAGGCTCCGCGACCCTATCACCCCCATCCTGTGGAGTCCTGTAGCTCAGTGGTTAGGGTGCTCGCCTTGCAAGCGAGACACCTGATTCAATTCCAAGCAGTTGCCTTACTTCACACGTCTAATAATAATCCCTTCAAAAAACAAAACAATAATAAATTGGTCATTTTCAATCCACAACTGTTTGTGAGACACTGCTGTGCGCAATTGGCTGCTGCGTTTCGCCCACAAATATACAGTCAATTCACTTTACAGCATATTCTGTGAAGCGCTTTGAGACGTCTAGAAGACATGAAAATTGCTATATTAAATCCAAGGATTATTATTATTATTCTCGCCCAACTCCACTGGCTTCCATCACACAGAGAATACAGTTCAAGATCCTGATCCTCACCTTCAAAGCCCTCCATCGCCTTGCTCCACACTACCTCTGCAACCTCCTAAACCCCTACCAACCTGGCTGCTCCCTCCGCTCAGCGGGCTCCAGCCTACTTCATGTCACCAGCTTTGCCCGCCCCAACATTGGCGGGCGGGCCTTCTGCCACCACCCTCTGGAACTCCAACCCGCAGTCCCTCCACCTCACCTCCTCCAAGACCCGTGTCAAGACCCTCCTCTTCGACCGTACCTTCAGTCACCCTCCTCCCACCCCTGCCCTCCACCCTCCCCGATCCCGACACCCAGCTCAGGTCCGAAACACTGATTATTCAGCACCTTGGGATATCCTTCCAAAGTGATAGGCGCTATACAAATGTAATTTTGTTGTCATTGTAAATGTAGCCAATTGGACAGGAAAAAAGGATTGTTAATATCCAGGCGGTGGGGTTAGATACAATGGTGTTTTGGTGGGAGAAGGCTTGTTGCCACCCACTGTAAAATTATCATTCGACAGGGAGAAACATGATTGAATGATCCCTCGCAATGAGGATCGGTTTATTTGCCCCTAAAAGGAGCGAGCCTGCTCGCCTTGTGGTCACTATTCACCTGATGACATCAAAAGTACAAGCCTGACTGACACTGAGTAGTAGTCCTCTCGGTCAGGAATTGTTTTTTCGTGCATTCTGTTCACCGACTCATTGTTGAGTGTCTGCTAGCTGGTATTTAGATAAAGTGTGATTTTTAGTGTTTGTTATTTCCTGGTGTCATACTTATCTAATTTGTCAGGAAATGCTTAAGTTACTATTTATTTGGGTTGTGTATTTCATGGAATAGCAATAACATTCTGTCGAGTTTGCTTGACCATGCTTTCTCGAGTCTCTATAATCAATCTGGAAGAAGGGGACACATAAACAGGTTCAGCCTATCTCACAGTAAACCAGTGCAAAAACCTGCTGACGGAAGCTTCTAAATTTGCTGTAATATAAACGGCAATTGGCAGTACCTATTGTCGTGGTAACTCTCACTGGTGAAGTACACCTGAAATTAGGTGAGGGATCGAACACAGAGGCCACCAAATACGCTCTGCCAGGGTGGGCCGGACACACATCGTGGGTATACAAAAGGGGTGAGAAGCGTCGCACTGTCGAGTCAGTTATTCTTGCTAATTGGGATCTACCCCATTGTCGATTAGCAAATATTGTTGACAATTGATCACAGTGGAAAATACATACTTGCTACAATGCTAACCAACAAACTTCTTTCATCAGTGGGTATACGATCACTATAATATACCACACTGTGCTAGCCCCTCCAAGTCTGCCCTTCCTCTCTCCAAGTCTGCCTTTGCCCACTCTCTTGTCCCCTTTTTCACTCTAACCCTAGAGATTACAAAAGTATAAACATTTTCATTCTCAATACTGGAGACAATAAATCACTTGTACACATGTACCAAGTTTCATGCATACGTACAAGATTGCCAAGCATGCAATTTACACAAGCAGAGCAACTAAATCACATTCCTATTAACCTTACACACACACACATAGATTGTTGTGCCCAGCATTTTACAACACTGTATGTACTTCTGGATCAGAGACATACAAGTAGGCGTGCAGACAACTGGTTGGAAATGGCAGGGTTCTACTGTACATTATTCCATAAAAAGTTTTATCAAAATGCAAAATATTGCAGATGCTGGAAATCTGAAACAAAACCAGAAGTCGCTGGGAATACTCAGCAGCATCTATGGAGAAAGAAAAGCGAGTCAACGTTTCTGGTCCACAACCCGTAGTCAGAACATGAAAAGTTCTACTTGCTAAAGAAAAATAACACTCACCTTATCTCCTCTGCCTATAACGGAGGTTCTTCCCGCTAATCCCAAGCAGATAGCACAGACTATACTGGACTTCCCAGTGCCATTAGCACCTACGATCACATTCAAATTGGGCCCAGGATGGATTTCACAGGAATCATACGTTCTGATAAGCAACAGAGCATTGATTACATTCAAAATAATAATAGAAATCAGTTTATTACCCCTATTCTACTTATAATTACAACAACAAAATTACATTTGCATAATACCTTTCACGTTGGGAGGACATCCCAAGGCGCTGAATTAGCTTTAAAGCAGCAATCTATCAACCATTTGAAATATGTAACAAAATCATTACAAAACATTAAGCTTCGCTAAAGGCATAATACTGCAGATGCTGGAAATCTTCTTTATTATCTGATATATAATCTAATAAAAGGACAATGTCTGTCTGCGCTTCCAGAAGGATCTAAATAACCGACTGACGTAGAACAACAACAACTTGGATTTATATAGCACCCTCCATGGCGGACGGCGCCTCAAGAGCGCTTCACAATAACGGATCCCGGGGACGTAGATACATAAACACATTTATACCTCATCGGAAAGGTCTTGCACCTGGGAGTGACATGAGCATATTTATTTTTAGGTATCTCCTATTGCTCATGCATTATTTTAAATTTTGCGTTTTTCGCTGCAGTTACACCTGGTGGCTGCCAAGTCAAAGTGGCAAGTCAAAATGGCATCATGCGCCACAGAGCACGTACATATGTACGCACACACTGTAGTTACACCTGGTGGTCGCGCCGGCTGATCATGGCGCTGTGGCATTGTGCGTCAGAGAAAGCATATAATCAAGCAGCGGGAAAAAAATAAAGAACACAGATGAAGCTAAGCTGAGGCAACAACAAAATTACATTTTTATGGCGCTGAGCTCTCCTACAGGAGTCCTCCCACAGGAGTATAAATAAAGATGAAATATCTGTTTGTGTGTCTGTCTGTGTGTCAATCTACATTCCATATTGATTCCTTTAGTTGCAAGCGAAGCTGCAACAGGTACAGTTAGTCTGAAATAAAAACAGAAGTCGCTGGGAACACTCAGCAGGTCAGGCAGCACCTATGGAGAGGAAATTGAGTCAGAACTCAAGTCATTGACATGAAACGTTAATTAAACTTGGCTCATCACTTTAATCTTCAAGTTTGATTCCAAACTTTCTGAATGGCCCAGTTCTTAACCCTGGGATCACTCTTTTCCAGGATAGCTCTTATTTCCTTTGGTTTGAACACACAGGTGACCAACATTTTAATGGCACAGGTTTGCTAAAGCCATTAATAATAATAATAATAATCCTTGTATTTGATATAGCGCTTTTCACGTCGGAAGGACGTCCCAAAGCGCTTCACAGAACACACTGTAAAGTGAATTGACTGTAAATTTGTGGGCGAACGCGGCAGCCAATTGCGCACAGCAATGTCCCACAAACAGTCGTAGATTGAAAATGCCAATTTTATTATTGTTTTTGGTTTTGGAGGGATTATTATTAGGCTCTGTGTGGAGTAAGGAAACTTGCCCAAGGTTTCGCCCTCTGCCTGGAATTGAACTCAGGTCTCTCGCTTGCAAAGCGAGTGCTCTAACCACTGAGCTACAGGACTCCAGGTCTTCAAGGTCTGCTTCAAGACTTCCCTCTTTTGTGACACCATTGCTCAATGTTCAACATATTCAGTGATTTTATACTGTCAGAGCTGGCAACACTGTCTCCAGATATACAGATTACTAATTCTGGAGGTAGAATTTCTCCACATCGAGATATCTACACAGTATTGCCGCTGCTTCTGCTTGCCAGACTGAGCTTTCTCTCTACCTATAGAGGCAAGATAAGGTTGCAATCTGCGAGTTTATACGAGCAGTTATTTCTCTGATGGTGTTATTGCTGTGGATTCTCCCCCGCAATGCAAATGGGGCAAATTGACAGCACTAGTATATTCCAGGGCTGCTTTCATTTCACGTGTATGTTACAATATGAACACACAATCAATGAACGCGAGAAGGGGGACGTGAAAACTCCAACACTGTCGAGGGGGAAAAAGCCATATTTCTTGTTCCAGATTTACAGTTATATATTAATTACCTTCTTTGCATAATTTGCCCAACTGTGGAGAATACTTTCCAACCACTCTCTGAAACAATAACTTGAACTTGTATAGATTGCACCTTTCACATAGGATGGATGTCTCCAAGCACTCAGCAGATACAAGAGAGAGCAATAAAATAATTTAAGGGCGTTGACCAAAACAACAATCAACGAAATCTCTTTTATAAGACACACTTCTCCTCCTTCGGCTGTGACTCCGGGTCCACCGATGTTCTGTCTGGCAGACATCAGGGCCTGGATAAGCACAAACTTCTTACAACTAAATGTTGACAAGACAGAAGCTATACTCCTTGGTCCCCATCAACGTCTTCTGTCCTGCGGCTCTGAACTGTTGTAGCCTCACGTAACGCAGGGTAGAGTCTTAGAGAGTTTGACAGTGGTGGAGCACAACACCGGGCCGGGAGGCAAGGGGAAGTGACCAAAGGCACGGTCAAAAAGGAAGGTCTTCAGACACGACCTAAAGATGGGAAGGAGGGGGCAAAGCGGAGGGATAGAGGAAGAGTGTTCCAGAGCGTAGTGCCTGAAAGCACGGTCACTGATGGTGGAATGGAGAGCATGCGGAACAAGCAGGAGGCCGGAGCCAGTCGAGGGGAAGCAGCGGGTTGTGGGAGTAAAATAGGTCAGAGAGGCAGGAAGATGTCAGGGCATAAAGGGTTTTGAAGACGAATGTGAGGACCTTGAAATCGATCCGTTCGAGAGCCAGTGGAGCCTGGCTAGTACTGGTGTGATGGGTCTACTGCTTATTGCGGGTGAGTATGCGAGCGACAGAGTTTTGAATTAATAAGCAATAGTTAATGGGGCTGCTCTATGTATGTTATGGAATGAGCCAGAGATTTAACTCTACTTTGAGGATTCCCTCCCCGTACACATAGTTCAAATAGCAATTGAGTTTACATTCTTGGCTTCTTTGGTTTTCTGTCACAAAACATTTCTGACCAATTCTAAAAGCACATCAGGAATCATGAAAAAGTACCTGACAAGATTATAGCTCTTAGGGAAACTACGATCATTTGTGAAATGCATCAAAACAAAATTCTCAAACATTTATGCTCTAGATCTGTGCTATAAGACGAACAAATGTATCCAATGCAATGTAACATAATTTTTTTGTTCCAGGGTTGGGGTGGGGGAGAGGAAGCATGTGCGTAGGGAATAATGTCAGATTTTAAATCAATCAATACTTTGGTCAATTATGTTTTGGATGAGCAAGCATCTCTGAAAAACTTCCTTTCAGGAAAGTGTGGGTACATTGTCAGGGATGCCGTAAATCAGATGAAGTATTAAATTAATATTTCATCCGCCTACTCAATGACTATTTGAAATGAAATGGGCGTATTTCCTGGTGTCCCAACTAACAATTCTCCAGATAAATTGGTAATTTACTTCATTGATGCTTGTGGGACATTTCTATGTCACTTCCATCCTATCCAGACCATCCACACTGCCTTCTCCCTCCGCCACAGCCCCTGCCACTCCCCTCTCCTTACACTCCTTTGCCCCCATTTCGCCCTCCTCACTCTCAATCACAATCACCCGCATGATGTTCATCACCTGCTGCCTCGACCATTAGAGGTCGCGCCCCGAAACTCTGGAACACTCTCCCTCAATCCCTCCGCCTTGCCCCCTCTCCTCTTTTTCAAAACCTGCTTGAAAACCTTCCTTTTCAACTGTTCTTATGGTCACATCTCCTACACCGGCTCAGAGTCAGGCTCCACCACTGTCAAGCGCTATGAGACGCTACCCTGCGTGGAGGGAGCTATACAAGTGCAAGTTGTTATTGTTTCAACATACTCTTCCCTCCACAAGCTGCAGATCATCCAGAACTCTGCAGCACGTATCCTCTCCCATACCAGGCACCGTGAACCCATCACCACCACTCTCACCCGGCTCCACTGGCTCCCCATCCCCCAGAGGATAGAGTTCAATATCCTCGTCCTCACCTTTAAGGCCATCCATGGCCTTGCTTCTCCCTACCTCTGTGACCTGCTGACCCCATATCAACCTGTCTGCTTCCTCTGCTCAGCAGGGCGTGGCCTGCTCTACGTCCCCCACCCGCCCCGCCCAACCATCGGTGGTCGGGCCTTCAGCCTTTCTGGCTCCACCCTACGGAACTCCATCCCACATTCCCTTCGCTTCGCTCCCTCTCTTGCCTCCTTCAAGGTGCGTCTCAAAACCCTCCTCTTCGACCAAGCCCTGGGCCACCCTCTTACCCTCCCTGATCCCAATCCCGACTCCCAGCTCGGGTCCAAATCCCTGATGATCCAGCATCTTGGGATGTCCCAACATGAAAGGCGCTATACAAATGTCATTTTGGAATTGTGTAAAACCATGTGCGCACATTGGCAGCGCAAATTAGTTACCTTGTTTGCTTACACAGTGAAGTGCTTGGAATCATTTTGACATCATGAACGTAAAGCAAAGCATATGATTTAAAGAGTATTTATGACTCAGATCACAGCTCAGAGAAAAGTCAAGACATTTTTAAATTTAAATATGCAGGCATACCATTAATTTCCTGGAAGTCCTGTTTACACAAATTAACCCCCCGATATTTCGGGGTCTGTGCCATCCACAAAACAGTTTAGTTCAAATTAATAATTAGGAAAACTTTACAGTATATTTTACATATGTTACAGTCGCCTAAGAATTAATTATATATTTCCATTTAATGCAAAATTATGTAAAATATTTGTATAGTCATATGACTGGCAACTGTCAGATTGAGGAACTTTTTCTTCAAGCACATAATCCCAGAAACTACTTCATGCCTGAGTCTCTCTCTCTTTCTCTCACCATCTGTCTGTCTTTCATCGTGTCCGTCTTTCTCTCACCATCTCGCTCACCCTGTCTCTCTCCCTCTCTCTCGCCATGTCTCTCTCTCTCTCTCTCTCACATTGTCTCTCTCCCTCTCTCTCACCCGCCTCTCTCTCTCACCGTCTCTCTCTCTCTCTCTCTCTCACCCTGTCTCTCTCTCTCTCACCCTGTCTCTCTCTCTCTCACCCCGTGTCTCTCTCTCTCTCACCCCGTGTCTCCCTCTCTCTCACCCCGTGTCTCCCTCTCTCTCACCCCGTGTCTCTCTCTCTCACCCGCCTCTCTCTCTCACCGTGTCTCTCTCTCTCTCACCGTGTCTCTCTCTCTCACCCGCCTCTCTCTCTCACCCGCCTCTCTCTCTCTCTCTCTCACCCGCCTCTCTCTCTCTCTCTCTCACCCGCCTCTCTCTCTCTCACCCGCCTCTCTCTCTCTCTCCCGCCTCTCTTCCTCTCACCGTGTCTCTCTCTCTCTCTCTCACCGTGTCTCTTTCTATCTCAGTCTCTCTCACTGTCTCGCTCTCTCTCGCCATCTCAGTCTCTCTTTCAATCTCTCTCTGTCTCTCTGTTTCAGTCACAGCCTCTCTCTGTGTCACAGCCTCTCACTGTCTCTCTCTCGCCGTCTCAGTCTCTCCCCGTCTCAGTATCAGTCTCTCTCTGACTCAGTCTCTCTATCTCTCTCATTCTCTCTCTCTCTCGCTCTCTCTCTCGCTGTCTCAGTCTGTCTCTGTCTCAGTCTGTCTCTGTCTCAGTCTCTCTTTCTCTCAGTCTCTCTTTCTCTCAGTCTCTCTTTCTCTCTCTCAGTCTCTCTATCTCTCTCAGTCTCTCTATCTCTCTCTCAGTATCTCTATCTCTCTCTGTCTCTCTCTCTCAGTCTCTCTCTTTCTCTCAGTCTCTCTCTTTCTGTCTCTATCTCTCGCTCTGTCTCAGTCTCTCTATCTCTATTCTCTCTCAGTCTCTATTCTCTCTCAGTCTCTCTCTCTGTCTCAGTCTCTCTCTCTGTCTCAGTCTCTCTCTCTGTCTCAGTCTCTCTCTCTGTCTCAGTCTCTCTCTCTGTCTCAGTCTCTCTCTCTGTCTCAGTCTCTCTCTCTGTCTCAGTCTCTCTCTCTGTCTCAGTCTCTCTCTCTGTCTCTCTCTCAGTCTCTCTCTGTCTCAGTCTCTCTCTCTGTCTCAGTCTCTCTCTCTGTCTCAGTCTCTCTCTGTCTCAGTCTCTCTCAGTCATAATAACATAAGAGACCAAGTTCGCCTTCCACCATCCTGGCAGTCGCAATCATGTATGTCACAAACTATATCCTGAGATATTATTGTCTTAACAGAAATCTATCTAATTTGTTCTAGAAACAATCCCCAGATCGCTCTCTCTCTCTCACACACACACACACACACACACTCTCTCTCTGTCGCCGCCGTTTTTCACACACACTCACAGGAATTTGTCCATTTTGATCCTGACGATCGACCCCTCCACGAAGTGTCCTGGCGGCGGGTGCGGGTGCGGGTGCGGGGCGGCCTCCCGAGGGCCGCTGACGGCCGCCCTCTTCGCCTTCGACTCCCCCGGACCCGGGAACCTGCGCTTCGCCGCCGCCATCTTCGCGCCTTGAGGCCAGCGATCAGCGCGGCCTGTAGCCCAAAACCAGCCCAATCAGGCCCCCAAAGTAGCCCGAAACCCGCCCAGAACGAGCCCAAGACCCGCCCAGAACGCCGGACCGACGTCACCACCCCCCCCCCACCACCCCCCCCGAAAGTAGCCCAACGGTAGTTCAAAAAGTAGCCCAATCTTTACCGGTCGCCTCCTGCGGGGACCGACCGGGAGAGGCCGATTCAAACTCTGGTCAGGAAAAGAGCTCCGAAAGCAGCCAAAGATAACAACGGTTTCGCCGGTTTAAAATGAGAAAAAGAAGGACGAAATTATTTTGCAGATGTTGGGGCAGGCGGTGAGCTCGAGCGTTTCCAGCCCAAAGTCCAGCCCCGAACAGGGATCCGCCGCCGGGACCGCGGTCCCCGACCCGAGGCTTCGCCCAACTGTCGCAACAAAGGTCTTCAGAACCCACACGAACACCAAACACACGATTCCAGAGTTGACAGTTAAAAACACTACTCCAAATATTCAACAATTCCGCCCCCACCACCGCTACTCACACTCACTCACTCACACAAACACACACACAAACGGGCGGAATTCAACCCAAAACACCCGCCGCTCACGTCACGTGACCCATCCACCTCTCTCTCTCTCTCCCGCTCCGCGTACACAGCGTGCCACCCACACAGCGTGCCCCCCACACAGGGTGCCTCCCACACAGCGTGCCCCCCACACAGCGTGCCCCCCACACAGCGTGCCCCCCACTCAGCGTGCCCCCCACTCAGCGTGCCCCTCAAAGGGATTTGAAACCGAGTGTGAGGATCCTGAAATTGTTCCGTTTAGCGATAGGGAGCCAGTGGAGCCTGGCTAGAAGTGGTGTGAATTAGGTATAGAGTTTAGTACAGGTGAGTATGTGGGTGGCGGAGTTTTGGGGATGGAAGGACAGCTGTGGGTTGAACCTGACCCTCGGTCGCGTATTGGTTGTGGTGAGTCTAAGGCTGGAGAGGTTGAGGAGGTCAGAGCGGCAGGACAGAAGACATTGATGGGAGCCAATGAGTATGGTTTCCGTCTTGTCAACATTGAGTTGTAAGAAGTTTGGGCTCATCCAGACTCTCGTGCACCAGACAGACCAACAGAACATCGGTGGACCTGGAGTCACAGTTGGAGGAGGAAAAGTAGATTTGTGTATACATGTGGAAGTTTACCCCATGTCTGCAGATGCCATCACTGAGAGGGAGCATATAGATGAGGAAGTGGATGGGGGCAAGGATGGAGATTTGGGGTAAACCACAGATGACCAGGTGGGGGCGGGAGGAAAAATCGTTTGAAGAGACAAAGTGAAGGCAGTTTGTTAAATAGTACTTGAACCTAGGCTAGTAGAGTCCCACTATGATGGATGAGGGAGGAGAGACGGTGGATGAGGATGGCATGATCGACTGTGTCAAATGCGGTGGAGAAGGCCAGGAAGATGAGGGGGCAGAGGCAGCCCTGGTCACACAGAGAGAGGACGTCGTTTGTGACCTTGGCAAGCGCCGTCTCTGTTCTGCGGGCAGGGTGGAAACCAGACTGCAGGAGCTTGTGGTGGGAGAGGTGAGAGCAAACTGGTTAGCCACAACATGTTCCAGAGATTTGGCAAGGAAGGGCAGGTTGGAAATGGAACAGTAATTTGTGAGGTTGGAGGGTCAAGGGTGTTTTTTTTTTGAAAGGGGGAGTGATGACAGCGGTTATAAGGGTTAGAGAAACAGAACCTGAGAAGAGCAACTGGTTGACTGTGTTGGCCAGCAGTGGGGAGAGGAGTTGAGTAACCAGGAACTGGGTAGGGAAGGGGTCAAGGCAGCAGGTGGTGGGCTTCATCTTGACAATGGTGATTGAGAGGAGGGGGTAGTAATTGGGGTAAGAGTTCAGGAACGGGTGAGGGGTAAGGAGCCATGGCAGAAGGAGGGGTTGGTGTAAACGGTCTGGGGGATGCAAAAAGGGACGTAAGAGAGTAGGATGCAGCCGACTGGATATTTTCAAATTTTGATACAAAGAAATCTGGAAGCTCTTTGCACTTGGCATTTGAAGTAATGATGGAGGCAGCTTGGGGGGTGCGCAGAGGTGGTGATAGATGGTAAAGAACAGTGCCTTTGGGTTGTTTTTGGTCTCCAAAATGGTTTTGGAGCAAAAAGCAGTTATAATAATAATAATCCTTGCATTTGATATAGCGCCTTATCACAGGTCCAGGAAGAGTTGCGCAGAGATCATAGAACTCCAGGTTGCCTTACTGCACCCTGGAGTTCTGTGAAATTTGCACTCTCTAGGTGGGTCCACAGTAATCCAGGGCACTGCTGATGTCTACACAGCCAGCCCAACTCATCGACAGAACTTGGAAGGGAAGACCAGTCACTGTGGGCATACACTCTTCTCACTCAGCTCCTGTTAACCCTGAAAGCCCAAGCCCTAAATGGTAGGGTGGTCCTAGCTGAACAAGCAGTGGGAAAGCTTGGCACACAGTTCTGTGAATGGCAAAGTATGCAGGCGGTTTTAGCTGGTTAGACTCCAGCCGTACTCCAACACACACTCTGGTTTCTCAATAGTTTCTCAAATTGGCTGTTTGCTTTAGAGTGTCTGAGCTGAATTAGTCTTGTTTTTTTCCAGCTCATTTCAACAGCTTATGGAATTTTTTTTACGCACATCGGCTGTTTTCTTTCCCTCACAAGCTGGCAGACAAGAATACCCTGGAGAATCAACAGTATTTGCTCATTTACTTTCCCTCCTCAGATCTAGGTACATTTGGGATTTTTCAGCTTCTATCCATATGTACAATTATATTTGTGATTTTTAATGTTTTTTAAGGCTTTTAATTATATGTATTTATAATGTAACCTACCCATAATTCTTTAATAAGGTTTGTTTAATAGAATGACTAGGTTAGCAGGGGTTAAAAGTAGCTTTGCTGGACGGGTTGACGTCAGCGTCTGATTATATTTCATATTTTCCTGGGAAGATGTTCACTCCGCTGAGATAATGAGCAATCGGGTCCTTGAGCATAGATGTAAGAACAATGAACCACAGAAAGAAAAGGCTACAGCCTCACATGCCGGCCTATCTCAACGCTGAGAAACAAACAGGCTGTGGAAGGTTGCCCAGAAGTTGTCCATATCTTTTCCCATGCGAAAAGAGCCTGCTCAAAGATCGCTAGCAGCCTGCGAAAAGTGGGAGCTATCTCTGTGACCAGGGGGAGGTGGAATTAGAAACACATAAAAGAGAGATGTAACTTTGAAATAGTTGGAGTTGTGTAGAGGGTCAGCACACTTTGCAGTGAATCGATATTGATTCTACTGTATCTATGTATATGTACAGGGGTGAGGGAAATTACCTCCAGTAAGAAAGTGACCATGGAAAGTGAAAGAGGAGGAGTAGTGAGTAATATGTTTTTGGTTCTGTCTGCTAGGCAGAGAAGTAATAACAGGAGTAGTGGTTGGTCCATTTGAAACACAGAAGTCGGGTTAGACAGTACGAGTGAGGTGCTGGGCTAAGAGCTGATTGTTTCTGTTGGGTTTCCAGGAGCCACTCTCTATGATTCTGTGTGATACAACAACAACAACAAGATTCCATTTATAGAGCGCCTTTCACGTCGGGAGGACGTCCCAAGGCGCTGTACAGTTGGGTCAGGACCCGAGCAGGGGGAAAATGGTCAGGGTGAGGGGAAGGAAGGGAGGGAGCGAGGAGGGGGTAGAGAGTCGAGAGGGGAGCTGAAGGCACGGTCAAAGAGAAAGGTCTTGAGACCGGCCTTGAAGGAGGAAAGGGAGGAGGCGGCGAAGGCACTGGGGGATGGAGTTCCAGAGCCTAGGGGCTGAGAGGCTGAAGGCCCGGCCACCGATGGTAGGGCGGTTGGGGCGGGGGATGTGGAGCAGACCGGAGCCAGAGGAACGGAGGGTACGGGCAGGTAGGTAGGGGGATAGTAGGTCAGAGAGGTAGGAGGGAGCAAGGCCGTGAATGGCCTTGTAGGTGAGGATGAGGATCTTGAATTCGATCCTCTGGGGGATGGGGAGCCAGTGGAGGCGAGCGAGGGTGGGAGTGATGTGGTCCTGGTGCGGGACAGTACACGAGCTGCAGAGTTCTGAATGACCTGCAGCTTGTGGAGGGAGGTGCCGGGAAGGCCGGCGAGGAGAGAGTTCCCATAGTCCAGCCTTGAGGTGATAAAGGCGTGGACCAGAGTTTCAGCAGCGTGAGGGGTGAGGTAGTGCCGTAGTCTGGCGATATTCCGGAGGTGATGGAAGGCGGTGCCAGTTGTGGTGCGGATATGAGGGAGAAAGGACAGCTCAGGGTCGAACAGAACCCGAGGTTCCTGACTGGCTTTGAGAGGTGGAGAGTGCAGCCTTGGATGCTGATGCTGTCAGCGCCTGAGGTGCGGAGGCGCTGACGTGAGCCAATCAGGAGGGCCTCAGTTTTGCGCACGTTGAGCTGAAGAAAGTTATCTCTCGTCCAGGACTCGATGTCGGACAGGCAGCTGTCAGGACATCGGTGGTCGTGGAGTTGAGGGTAGAGGAGGAAAGGTAGAGTTGGGTGTCATCCGCATACATGTGGAAGTTAACCCCATGTCTGCGGATGATGTCACCAAGGGGGAGCATATAGAGGGTGAAGAGGAGGGGACCGAGGACAGAGCCTTGAGGGACACCGCACGAGACAGTGCGGGGGCGGAGGAAAAACCATTTGTGGAGACAAAGTGAAGACGGTGGGAGAGGTACGACCTAAACCACTCAAGGACAGGGCCTTGAAGGTTTAGGTGGGAGGACAAGCGGTGGAGGAGGATAGCATGGTCGACCGTATCGAATGCTGCCGATAGGTCGAGGAGGACGAGGAGGCAGAGGGAGCCCTGGTCACAGATGGTCAGGATGTCATTGGTGACCTTGACCAGGGCAGTTTCTGTGCTATGGGCAGCACGGAAACCCGACTGAAGGGGTTCGAATAGTGAATGGGTGGAGAGGAAAGAGCGCAGCTGGGAGGCGACAACTCGTTCCAGGACCTTGGACAGGAAGGGGAGGTTGGAGATGGGCCGGTAGCTTGATAGCTGCGACGCATCAAGGGAGGGTTTTTTTAAGGTGGGAGTGATGGTGGCAGTTTTTAAGGGAATGGGAATAGAGCCAGAGGAGAGGGACAGGTTGACGATGTCTGTGATATGTGGGGCAAGGAGGTGGAGCTGGGAGATAAGGAGTGGAGTGGGGATGGGGTCAAGGGAGCAGGTGGTGGTTTAAGGGATAGGATGAGTTTGGTGACAGAGGGTGGGGAAACGGGTACGAAGGTGTGTAGGGGAGGATGGGTAGGAGTCGGAGTGTGGGAGGGAAGGGGTGGGTGGTGGGTGGATGTTGGAGGGGAAGTGACCGCGGAGCGGATTCCCTTGATCTTGGATTCAAGGAAATCCAGCATCTCCTCGCAGTGAAGGTTGGAGGAGATGACCTGCGCGGGGGGGACGGAGGAGTTGGGATGTGGTAGAGAACAGTAGCCTGGGGTTGTCCTTCGCCTCCAGGATTATCCTGGAGTAGAAGGACGATTTGGCCGAGGCTAGAGTGGAGCGGTAGATTTTGAGGAGGTCCAGCCAGATTTGTCGGTGGACCGTTAGGCCAGATTTGACCAGGTGCGTTCAGGGGCCCGCACCTGGCTCTTCAGTGAGCGGAGGTGGGTGGTGAACCAGGGGGAGGAGCGAGAGTAGGAGACAGTACGGGAGGTGATAGGGGCAAGAGTGTCAAGTGTGGAGGAGAGGGTGTTGTGGAGGAGGGTGAGAGCAGAAGAGGGGTCGGTGAGGGTTGAAGGCCAGAGGGAGAGGAGTTCAGAGGACTCCAAGGCAGCGGTTAGGGATTGAGGGGGTAACTTCTTCCAGGGGCGGTAGAAGATGGTGGTGGGTCTGGTGGAGGTGGGGAGGGGGGTGGAGGTGGTGAAGGAGATGAAGTGGTGGTCGGAGATGGCCTTGTCGGTGATGGTGACATCCGAGACACTGAGGCCCCGGGTGATCACCAAGTCGAGTGGGTGGCCGTGACTGTGAGTGGGGGAGTTGATGTGGAGGGAGAGGTTGAGCGAGGAGAGCAGGGAAGAGAAATCTGAGGAGATTGAGCAGGAGGGGGTGAAGTGCAGGTTAAAGTCGCCCAGGATGATGAGGCGATCAGAGCAGAGGCAGAGAGATGTGAGAAGTGTTGAGATATCAGAGATAAAGGTGGGAGAGGTTTTAGGGGGCCGGTAGAGGAGGAGGATTTTAAGTGAGAGGAAGGAGGGGTGGGAGAGGGTGAGGTGCTCAAAGAGGGGAAAGAGCCAGAGGAGTAGGGGGATAGGGCAAGTGGTGTCCTTGAGATAAGGGCAACACCACCGCCACGGCGGTTGGGGCGAGGGATGTGGTGGGAGGTGTAGCCGGGTGGTGTGGCCTCCGTGAGGGGGAAGGTGTCGCCTGGGGTGAGCCAGGTTTCCGTTAAGGCCATGATATCAACGTTCTCATCAAGGATGAGATCGTTGATGACCAGGGCCTTGTTACAGAGGGAGCGGACATTTTGTAGTCCGATGTGGAGGGAGCGGTTGACAGAAGGGTGTGTGGGGAGGGGGGTCCCGGTTGTGAAGCAGGGGTGGGGGAAATGGGGATAAGGGAGGAGAGGTTGACTCCCCGGGTCTGTGTCCGGGGTGGCTGGCGAGTGTGGTGGGGAATGGGGCAGTCGGTGTGGCTGCTGCTGGACAGCCAACGCCGAGTGCCACGGTGAGCCCGGCGGAGGATTCCCAGGCTGGAACAGAGGGAGGTTGTGGGAGGGTCAAGTGGGGATAGAAGGCGAGAGGGACGGAGAGAGAGGAGGAGAGAGCGGGAGAGATGCAGAGGGGGGAGGGTTTGGGGGTAGAGAGGAGGGATAGTTCTGTGATCTCTCCAGTGTATGTCAAGGTGTGTTCCCAGGTCTACTGGATACGTGTTGTCGTCCCTGTATTATCAGTACTACTGTTGTTGTGTATAACTGGTTAGATCCGAGGGTTTACCGGACGCTGGTCCCTGCTTAGTGTATGTATTATCAGAATCATTTGTCCCTGAGGGATTTCAAGGGCCTGATCTCTGTTGTGTATTTTGAGGTGTGTTGTTTGTCTGGAGTACTGAGCAACCCCTGTGTGCGTGCGAGTGATAAATGGTTTGCTCACATAGATGTGTTGTATTGTTATTGTGTTGTTATATGTAGTATGATTTGATTACAGATTGTTAAACCTTATGTTTCATCTTATACAATAAACTCTATACTCTTACTACTGGCTGTCGAATTATTCAGTTTAAACATAACCAGTAACAAACCATAATATTATCCCAAGATATAATTTTACATGTTTTTTTGTATTTGACAATGGGTTTATTGGAATTCCTATTAGCTCAAGTTAACTCAGAGCGGAGTGCACACAGGACACAAGATTACAAGATTGGTTCGGATGAAAAAGCCCCTTTGGCCAGATAATCTCATCCTTCTACAGCACCCTGTCATCGCAGCATCAAATTGCCTTTTAAATGAAGTCAATATTCTGGCCTCTACCAGCTTTCCTGGTCGATATTTTGTACTTCTGGTTACTGGACAGAATCCTGGAAGGATTTTTTCTTTGTATCCTCACCTGCACCAAACTCCACATGGCCATCGCTTTAGTTGTTACCAGGCTCCTCTGGCTCATTCTCACCTAGAAATAAATCTTTTTATATCTCAGCACCTCCTTATCTCTGTGACCTTCCCCTATCTCACTCTGCTCGCCACTTCCGCTCAGCTGTCTCCAGGCTCCTGCATGTTCCCTGCCTCCTCTGTGCCACCATTGGTGGCCAAGCCTTTAGCTGCAACACCGCTAACCTCTGAAACTCTCTGTCTCTACCCCTCCATCTTGGCCCTCTGTCTGCCTTCAAATTTTGACCAAAACCATATATCGTTGAAGATACCACCTATGGTCCCCTCCCACTTCCCTCTTGCTCAATGTCTGACCCTGCCTTTGTGAAGAGCTCTGAGATGTCACCCCATGTGAAGGGCGCTATATAAATGCAAGTTGTTGTTCTTATTAAGAAGTATTAATGCAATACTGGAAATTCAATCCAATATTTCCATTCACCCAGATACATAATTGAAGGTGAGTCAGTGTGTTGGAGGATCAGTTGTACAAAAAGTTGCATATCAATACGAAGTCTTCCACCCAACTTTATTCAAACTGAGTACATACACAGCACAACCTGGATCCAACCGCCTGGAGGGCTTGGCCAATAACTGCTGAAGATAAATCTTAAAAAAGAACACAAACAATACCTAATATTTACAGATCGTACCATGCAATTCCAAGTAAATATGTATATTAATAACTAACATCGGGGAGACTTGGATGAGGCCATTCTGTACTGCTTCTCTGGCAAAAGCCACACACTCACAATTTCTAAAGTGTAGACTTAAGAATGGTCAATCCTTTGCCCTTGCTGGGAGTAGACATTTATTGAATAAAAGCCATTCAATTGAACTTTTTTCACCTACGGTGAAGGCCAAGAAGGAATAACCCAGAATAATTTACAACGTTTACAAGATCCACAGTAAAGGCTTTTTCAAGTTACTGAGGTGAATCCTGCCCTCTTGTTGCACTTCACATGTGACCCAAATAATGGAACTCTAGACAACAGTCATTCAGATCTGCTGGTATGGAGACCCTCGATTGTGTGGCAATGTTTTTCTATGCTCTGTAAATGAAAAAACACAAAGGAAACAAAGGGCATTATTTTTCCCTTCAATAACAACACCAACAAATTACATTTGTATAGCGCCTTTCACGTCGGGAGGACTTCTCAAAGCACTGGACAGTCGAGGAAGTGCACCCGAGCTGGAGGTTGGGATCAGGAGGGGTGGAGATGGGGGTAGGAGGGTGACCAAAGGTGTGGTCAAAGAGGAAGGTCTTGAGATAATTGTTAAAAAATTCAGACAATTTTTTCTTCAATATACTGTATAAGGCAATAACTGCATGTCAATTAAGTTCCAGTGTAATCTACCCAAACCAAGCCTTGATATGTGCTTAGCATTTTCAACCTCATAGACAAGCTGCTCCAGTGGAGAACTGATAGGTACAAGGTTAGATTTCCAGTTTACACTGAGTAAGCTGAAGCTGAGTTGGGTCTAAGAAGACATGCCTGGCAATGGAAGACTGAAATTGAGTCAATCTTTTGTTACAGGATTTTAGGGTGCCAGTGAGCTAATTTCCTCACTTTTTAAAAGAAAACTACGCAACACCAGCCATATAGATGGAAGATTGAGGGTTCTAATCCTGGCTATCTGATCTTAGTCTAAGAGGAAGAGGAGAGAATTAAATACAATAGAAAAATAGAAAGTTTTACCAACAATATTTTTCTTCACGGTACAGAAACTGAACAATCAGATCAGGTCTCTATTGATGTTGTTGTTCTTCAAACCTGCTGTAATTCCTCTCAATGGCCTCTTCAGTTTCCAGCAGGTCTGAAGGACAACATCAATAAAGACCTGACCTGATTGTTCATTTTCTGTACTGTGAAAAAAAAGTACTGTTTTGCAAAGCAAAGCAGATTTCTGAATAATTACTGATTGCAAAACAAAACAGATTGTTGGTAAAACTTTCCATTTTTTTATTGTGGTTTAAATCTTTTACCTACTACTTATAAAGTCTGTGTTATGTACATATATATATATGCACAAATTGGCTGTCGCATTTGCCCACAAAATACACATTGCTATATCACTTTACAGTATATCTTGTGAAGTGCTTGAGACGTTGATGACATGATAAGGTGCTGTATCAATTGCAAGGATTTTATCTATATATTATATATATTAATAGTATTTGTTTGGCTTCGGAATAGCATTCAGAATTAAAAGCTTATTCTTTAATTGGAAAAGGAGCTGGTGTAATTGGTGAAATATTTCTGTCCTTATTTCATGGAGACTGAAGAGTGATTTCCCAGTGTATTATTGTTGGTTTGGGTTAGTCTGAGCTTGATTATAATCAGTGCATGCTGCAGAATAAGACCAAAAGGAGCAAAGCCGGGGGCAGCTGAGATTATAGTAACAGAGAAAGGGACTTCGGAGAGGGCATTCGATAAAGATAAACCAGACAACCGTAAATTGGTGGCAAATGTTTACTCCTGAGTCAAGACAAAGCTTTAACTTTCCCAAATCACTAGAGAAAAATAATGCAAATACAGGCCCATTGGCAATTTACTGTTAGACAGACACCGAAACTATCAAAAACCTCAGCTAAACAGCACAGCTGAGATCAGTGTGGCCATCTGGGATATCTGACTGACAATCAGTCTAATGTGCATACGTACTGTATTTAGACATCTAATTAAAGTCAATTGTATGAAGGAGCATGTTAATGATGAAATACCTCTTGCATTTGGTAAAATGCCTGTCATGTTAAAACACTCAAATGTAATATATATGTCAAGTGCACTTACTGACCTTATCTGTAGGCAAATGCAGCAGCCAATTTACACACAAAGTCCCACAAACAGTGAATGCCCAAATCTATCTGAAGGATTGTTTGCCAGGACACAGAGAGAAACTCCTTTAAATCAGATTGGAAGTGGAGATCTTTCAAGACTGAGGTTGATAGATTTCTAAAGGATAAAGGGATTAAGGGATATGGGGATGGATAGGGCGAGTAAATGGAATTAGGTTAGAAGATGATCTTATTAAATGGCGGGGCAGGCTTGAAGGGCTGAAAGGCCACTCCTGCTCCTACATCTTATGGTCTTATCTTTAACTTGCATCTGAACAGGCAGACCAGGACCTCAGTTTGATTCCATCCAACAATAAATACAATGCTCCCCCAACGCTGCACTAGAGTGCCAGTTTAAAATAGGAGCTCAAAGTCCCAAACCCCAAACCTTCTGACCCAAAGGCAACAGTGCTACCAACTGTGCTAGGTTGATATTTTATATTGTGGGTGTCACTTAACCCCTGTCATCATGGAAAGATTGTGGTCTCATTCCAAGAATTCAGGGAGAACAGCACATAAATATAAATGGAATATATATCCAAATTGAATTTGTGTTATTTATAAGTAGGCTTCATATAGTTTCAAACATATATACTGTATTTGTATGACATGGGTGTGGTTTATTATGTATGTGCAACTTACATTTGCTGACCTTGTATCTGAAGGATTGTTCGCCAGGACACAGGGAGAAACTCCCTTAAATCAGATTGGAAAAGTATTGTATATAGCATTGTATAACAACTAAATATCTTTAAGTACTTTAAAGAATAAGATTAATTATAAATTAAATGAATGTTATCATGGAGGCAAACACAGCAAATAATTTGCACCCAGAGATGTAGCACAATCAATGGAATGAGTAAATTACTGTGCAAATTACTGATTCAACATAGGTTGTTGCCTGAGCTCAGCAATTTCAGATCAATTCCTGAATAGTCTCATTTGTCCAAATTGGATCATTTCATATTTATGTGTAGCCCTGTTTNAAAAAAATAGCAATGGACAATCACAGATGGAAATAATTTCCTCTGAGCAAGCACATCACCATGTTTGCATAACTATTTGTTAGTTTCCCCTGTTGCAAACAAATGATTGTCACCATGGTTACAGCCACAGCTGTTTTTTCTAATAAATAAAAACAGCCTGTTTGTCACTTTTGGTCACTGAATGCTGGGATATGCAAAATTCTGGTCTGTATGCAAACAGGAATATATTTGTTTATTTAATAGGTGGTTCCGTTGTTTTCAACAGAGACACAATAACTTAGACATAAAGGGTACAAACATAGGGATTTCGTCTGTCAACTTGGACTGACTAACTTTGGGACACAAGACAATTCATTTCTGCCCCTGACCTATTTCTCTCAGATAAATGAATTGCCTATTTGCAACTTTTACTGTGAAAAAATATTCAACTATCAGTTGAACAAAAGAACTTATCCATATAAACTATCACATCTATAATTTAACTTCACAATATAGATTTACATTTATATTTCATCTTTCGTATCTGGAGGACATCCCAAGGTGTTTAACAATGCTGGCCTGATACATACTATGGTACAATATAAGTCTGTTAGTATTTTTCCCCACTGTTCTACCCTCTTTTCCTGGTGGCGATGACTCGTGTTGGGGTTCAGTTTCAAGAACATTTCCCAAATGGCCACTCTTCATGTTTAAGTCTAAACAATGAGTTTCAACCTTCTATTTGACCATGGAGATTAGAGCTGGTGGGAATATCAGCTGAAAATAAACCAAGGGGAATTTACCTTTGTTGTTCTAGTTCATGTAATGGATGACAGTTGTCCACCTACCAGAGAGGTCAAAAATTCATGGCAAAGCTACAGACCTGGCATCAGAAATTTCACCCAAGTTCTAGACATTGACAATTTTCTTAACATGTCAGCGTGAGCAAAGTTTGCTATATTCTGAATTTCAGTCATTTTCAAACAAGTTTTGTTTTAAGGACTACAGAGAACAGGCTCCCAAATTAACACTGGATTAAAAAAATGTGCATATTTTTAACATATTAAGATAAGTCTGAGTCCAGAACCATGTGAAACACTTGATCTTTGATTCATATTAACATGTACAGCAACAGAAATGTGTGCTGTGCATGCACAGATGCATATTGTGTTATACAGCAGATATTTGCATTCAAATGACAATGTTTCTAATCTCAACCTGCAGCGCTCACAGCACCAGCAGGTGTCTCTGTATAGCAACCAGGAACAGAGAGCATGGCTGCTTCTCTTCTCCTGACCAAGAGTACTAAGGCCAATTGTAGCACCACATGTCTGGATGAGATCAACTCTAATTCAGTGGAGTCTAGGAACCAAAGCTGGGTTTGTCTGCTCTGTGTCTAGCAGCTACTCATTGAGTCATTGCAGTGCACAGTGTTTGTTTTTAATTAAGTGTATTACCACAAATGATCCTTGTTGCTATTGCAGTATCCTTTACTGTTTTTACATAAACAGATTTGCCCTGATGGCAAGCCTGCCCATTAATGTATAAGCAGTACTGTGTGTTGCTATAGCAACATTGATCACATTTTGTTGTGATAAACTTATTTTTTTTTAACAAGCAAAAAACTAAACACTGCACATTGAGATGGAAGACTTTGTGAGTAGCCACTAGACACAGGCCAGAATAGTCCCAGTTTTGATTCCTTGATGAAAGAGTCATGAAATAATAATAATAATAATCCTTGCATTTGATATAGCGCTTTTCACGTCGGGAGGACATCCCAAAGCGCTTCACAGAACACACTGTAAAGTGAATTGACTGTATATTTGTGGGCGAACGCGGCAGCCAATTGCGCACAGCAATGTCCCACAAACAGTCGTAGATTGAAAATGACCAATTTATTATTGTTTTTGGTTTTGGAGGGATTATTATTAGGCGTGTGGAGTAAGAAAACTTGCCCAAGGTTTCGCCCTGATGCCTGGAATTGAACTCAGGTCTCTCGCTTGCAAAGCGAATGCTCTAACCACTGAGCTACAGGACTCCACAAAAAAATTATATTTATCATGAAAGCAAAGCACCAGCAAAACTAACATGGACTCTTCTCACCTTCCCATTTCCATTTCCTCCAGAAGGTACCCACCTTTGCACTTAAGTGAACTTATGCTGCCGCCTCACATCAACATGTTGGTGCATTTGCCAAAGTGCTCCTATGTGCTCAGTGTGGCTCAGTGGTAGCACTCTTGCCTCT